TGCGATTATAATTTCTTTTTTTAATAATCTTTAATTTTATCATGTTTATATATCCTTCATTTATTTATTTATTTATTTAATTTATTTATTTGTACTATATCTTTTACTGTTAACACTTTCATAAAAATGTATCTATCTTTGATTATCTATTTTTAAAATAATTTATTTTACTATGGTTCCATATATATAAACCGATACGTCATGTGCATAAATAAATAAATAATAATTTTTCAAAGTTCAGAGAATTAAAGACGAACATTCTCGTACGATTGGTAGACCATTTTCATAAATAATAAGTTAGCAAGGTAGGATATAGATACAAATTAAATGTATATCTGTAAGCATAGCTTAATCATTGTTAACAAAAAACGATTCTGAACAAAATTCGGTTAATAGTATTGCATTTTTAACAGTTATATATGTCATATAAAAATAGCTTGGATCTCTTTAGATGTACCCAAAATTAATTTTTTTTCCCTGTTACCTATCGGACGTGATTTTGTAAAAAAAAAAGTTATGTTTTTCTATTCCAAAAGAGTGAATACTTTCCGAGATAATGAGTATCTTACGATAGATTGATAACCCTGTATAGGTATAAAAAATAAGGTAAATTTCTTATAGATACTTTGGTATCGGTTATATAATAGACAATGTCGCTGGCACCCTTCATTTCGAATTCTAGCCATTCGTCTATGCTTCGTTGTGATTGTCCGTGAAAAATAAATTTTCATTAGTGTTCCACGCACTTATATTTGGACTATTCCCCTAGTATAGGTTTGAAAAAATAATGATTCCGCCACACAACTCATTTCGATTTTTCGACCTACCTCATTTATTATAAAATTAAGTGTATCATTATCAGGGATGCTATTTTTTTTTATTAAACAACGCTTTAAAAGGGCCCACTACCGGTTTACAATTTTCCCGATTTTAAAATTATTTTAAATATTTTAATGACCACTTAAGAGATTCATCTTTGCAAACTGTACCACTAATATACTGTCCGAAAAGGTATGGCTGTATGACTTCACCTCACAGAAATAGGGACAATATTATGTTTATATTAACTATTATAAATATAGTATTTTCCAATTATTTTTAAAAATATTGATAAACATTTGTCAACATTTACAGCAGTTTATTGATTTCTCGGGCTGCATTGAACTCAGATTTTTTATTTGATTTCAAATAATGGTAAAACAAATAAGTAAAAATAATGGACAAACTTCGCACAGTAGACTAAATGATTAATCATTTCTAATGAAAAAAAATTCTAAGCAGAGTTCGATTATACTTATACATGTTTTGAAAGACCGTATTTAGGATTTATTTACGATTTGAAAATAATATATTTCGTAAATTATACTGTTTTTTTGCCCCATTTATTATAAAAATTCTTGGAAAAATAAAAAAACCTGTTAAAGTACTGCTTCAGTCATATTTTCTTTCAGAAAAGGTGCTACAGTTGAAAATTGGAGCGAAATTTCAGGTAGAAAAGTTGTTCAAAAAAAAATAAGCTGTCCTAAGATAATGGGGACTGGTGTAGCCGCTGTTATAGGTAAGAAGTTTGATAGGCGCTAGAGAAGAAATTTAATGAATATCTGTATGCAACGATAAATCATTGCTAATGAAAAAAAGATTCTGAATGGAATTCGGTTAATATTGTTTTGTCAACAATATATGTACAGTGCTGTAGTCGTAATAAAAGCAGAGGGTATACTATAAGCTATACCTATTATTAGATATAAGTGTAATGCCCTCAACTGCAATATCTAATCTAATGTTTTAGTAAAAGGTGTAAATAGTAAATAATATATGTTTTCGTAATCAACCCAAAATTATAATAATAATAATAATAATAGATTCCGAGTGGAGCGAGGAATGTATTGGTTTATTTACAATGGTACTTTTTTTTTCTTTTTCCTTTTTTTTATGTGAACACTTTTTCTACCAGAAATTATGCTCCGTTTATCAAATATACTACCTTCTCTGAAACGAAATGTTCTCTGTGTGGTACTTTAGAGAGGTCCGTTTCACCAGAACTGCCATTTTCGAATTTCAAAATCCATACAGTATCATGTACTTTTTTTTCGCATAATTTTGTACAAATAAAATACAATTTTATACAACCCCCTTCCCCCCCCCAAAAAAAAACACGAGAAAAATCGATTTTGCTATGTTTGTACTAAAGAAACGTTTCCCCAACACTCTATTTGCCAAAATGTAAACAATTTTAATTTCCAATGATGATGTATTATGTACTTTTAGATTCTAAGTTGAGCGAAGAAGCTTATAGTTTTACGAAGAAGTTAATTTTCTTTTATGTTTTTTCTTTTATTTGTATGCGACTTTTCTACCAGAAGACTAGCTTAGAATTTCATGCGTTTTAAAAAATACATAAAGGGTTTAAAACGTGTGAGGTGATTACCAAATAATTTACCCACGGCAAACAAGTTGTTAAACGGAAACAAGCACATTGTTCACATTAAGATTTAATACTAATAATTATTGTTTATAGAGTCTAAGTGGAACGAAGCTTATTTACAAAGATGTGATTTACAAGATTATTATTTTTTGTTTATCTGTGGACAACTTCTCCCAGAAGTCTTGCTTTGGTTTACAAGTGTAGCACTTTAGAGAGATTTTTTTCGATTTTCCCGAAAATTTTCATTTTTATTTCTTTCTTGTTTAATAATATGTGAAAGTAATCCAAATCCTGGTAAAATTAGATAATAAACTATAGGACAGCCAAAAAATCAAATTAATCAAATAGCATTATTTTAATAAAATTATAGATATTATCTATAAACAAATAGTTATAAATACTGATTAATTAACGTAAATATATTATTTTAATAAGTACTTATTAAAGTATAAATACATTAGGTATTGAAAATAAATGTAATAATAATAATAATACTAATTAATAATAATTAATATAATAACCATATTTATCAATATTATTATACTAATATATAAGTATTACATATATGAAGTATAAAAATAAGTAGGTCTATTTTTTTATTTTTTTATAAGGTTTTACGAGCCATTTAGCCACTCTTAACCATCAAAACTACTTTCTTCCATCGCTCTTTATCATATGCCTGCTCCTAGTCCACTCCAGTTTCTTTAAATAATTTCTTGACGCTGTCCTTTCATCTTTACCGCGATCTTCTCCAACTTCTCGAAGTCGCTTTCGGATACATAATATATTTTATATATATAGGAATTCCTATGATTACTTATTGTAATATCTCTAGAAATAATAAAGATAATCAAATTCTATTTTTTTTTTTTTTTTTTATTACTCCCGCCACCTTCAGGTGTAAATACAGTAAATCTTCGTGAGACTCGTTGGTATTTTGGTAGGTATAAATGTGTAGGTACTACCTAGATATAAGTTATATATTATCGCGATGCGTGATTTCAAAAACAATGATCTCTTTTTAAAACTTTGAATGAACCAAACAAATAAAAGTTTTCGACCACCACCGTAAACACCATAAGTATGGTATATATATATATATATATAAATGTACATAGTCGACAGAGATTAAATCGGAAATCCAACGTAACCCAAGTCAAAAGTCAGACAAAATTCAATTAAGGGGCATTAAAGGCTCGAGAGAAAAAGGATATGTATAGGTAGATAGGTAGGTAAGTAACAACGCTTTTAAATTGATTTTCAGCGGTTGAAATATAAAGTAAACAGACTAAACAATATTTATCGTTTGCGTCGTTTACTACATATGCTTAATAAGTGTGGAAACGACAAAACTACACAATGATTTCAGTTTCTTGAAATTAAGTTAACAATAATTATTTTTCGTCTACGGTGTAACACTCGTCACTTCTTGCGCTCGAGTGCTATAAATGTACAAAAATGTTACATGTATAATATACATAGGTACCAAGGTATATACACTACACACACACACACACACACACAATATATATACACCAAAATTTATTTAAAGTAATACTCCGTCTATTTATGGAATTTTTAATATAGATTCTCGTTTTAAAAACCAAAGCTGGTATTGCCACAAAATAGTCCTTAAATTTTCTGAAAAACCTAAGTATTCGAAAGCCATATCAGCTAATTACATTTAAAAGTTCTAAAAATAAGAATTTGAATATATTATACAAAATTTAGCCAAACAAATGGGGTGAGCACGCTTAGTGAGTTATTCTTTATATAACGAACTATATTACCCGTTAGATATAGACAGAAACATAAATGTTTTTGTGACCTCTTAATTCACACGTATATGTGATGATATTCCATTGCAGATTTGACATATTCTGTTGATCCACAGTAATCCCAAACTTTGTCATCGGTGAGAAATAATCAAGATCGAAGGTTATTCGGAAAGTAAGAGTACTCTATTTTCTAATTTTTACATAAAGCTTTATTGGAAAAAAATATTACAAAGTTTCATTATTACACATATCAATTATTTTTCAACATAGTAACCGATTCCGTTTAATACATTTATTACACCTTGAAATGAGTCTTTTGATGTTCTCGTCATAGAAGTTTCCCTCCAACTCTTTACTTTACTTTAAAACCTCTTTTTTGACTTCCATGTCAGCCAAATACTTTTTCTCAGCAATAAAAGTCTTCAAAGAAGTAAATACACGGAAGTCCGAAAGTGTTAATTTAGAGAAGTGAGTGGAGTGGTTCAGTATTGTCCATTCAAAACGTATCCAAAACTACCTTGATGACATTGGCGGTGTGTGAATGAGCATTATGCAAAAACTGACTCCTTTTGACAGCATCTCCCTCCTTTTGTTTGTGATTGCTCTCCGAAGTATTTTAAGGGCCTCTCTATTATAATGTACTGCGTTAATCACTCGTCTTGGCACGAAAATTTGGGTTTTGAATTTTTTGCCCGTTAGTAAAGAGGTGTGACATTACTGTTCTGATTGCCTTTTAGTTTCTGGAGTGTAATCAGCCACCTAAGTTTCATATTCAATCACAATTGAGTCAAATTTCCTTACATGAGAAGAAAGCGCGAATAACTGCACTTGGCGCACTCTCGCACATGACAGGAGATTTTGCTAGGGCATTTTTGGATTTTGCTAGAAACCCTATCGTCTCTGGAGGAGGTTTCAAATTTTAAACCTATTGTAAAGCAAATAAAATTTAACTTGGTAATAGGTATTGATAATAACAAAAGGATTTAATTCTATTATTAAAAGTAAATATATGATGATCAGTATACCTAGGTATTATAAATAATAATAATAACGATATAATGATAAACTTATTTTATAACTATTAGTTTTTTACGTAATTTTTATTTGGTAAGTACTCAGTAGTTTATACTAAACAGAAATGCTTGAAAATTTAACAGGAGGTTCATTATAAATCGTACTTATTGGTCAAAAAACAAAAACAAAAAATTGAATTAACTATATATTTTTTTTTATAAGATTTGAAATCTAATTTTGAAGAAAATCGTAAATATTACGATGTTTAATCGAACTTCGCTCCGAATTTTTTTTTTCGTTAAACATAGTTTATCGTTATTTACAGGTATAGATTAACTAATTTTATGTATCCCATGTTGCCTCCCAAAAAAGGAAGTAATACTGTGAAAAGCACTTTTTTAAAAAAATTACCAAAACAGAAAAAAGCACTTAAAATGTCATTTTAGAACTCTTAAATTTTTTTTTAAATCTAGCTCAATGGTTTTTAATATGTGTTCCATGCTCGAACATAACCCATACTCGTACGCGATAAATAGATAAGAAAATAAAAATGCGTTGGATAATAGAATTCAAAGGTGAAATTATAAAAAATCGTGGAATAAGTCTGGATTTTCGTCACTGGCTTACTTATAATCACAAAGTAGAAAATATTTTAAAAATATCAGAAAAACCTAGTGAAAATTTTTTTTTTTAACCATTGAAATAAGGAAGAAACAAAAGGACTGATACTGGGGATGGATGTGTCCACTATGGTCGGTGTGTGGGTAAGGCGGGATACATAAATTAATTTAATTTAATTTAATTTATACCTGTAACCCACAATAAACGATATTGATTGATAACAAAAAATGATTCTGAGCGAAGTTCGGTTATACATGTTTTTAAAGGCCGTAATAATTACGATTTTTGTCAAGATTTGATTTTAAAACTTATAAAAAAAATACTACGTTGAACTAAATTTTTATTTTTGACCACTATAAGTATTACTTATAATCAACTTCCTATCACAATTTTAAACACTTCTGAAAGGTCTAACAATTTATCTATAGAGTACCTACCAAACAAAAATTACTTAAAATATGTTGCAATATGACATAAATTTCCACAACACTTAATTATATTATTTAGTGTCAAGCCAAGAAATAAAAAAAAAATAAGCAAATGTAACTGTATTTATTTGGAATATCGGTTTTGAACTAAATGTTATAAAATTTTAACTGAGCATTTTTTAAATATTTTATAATACGATACCTATACATTTTTTTTTTTAACTGAAAACGACTATACGTATAAAAAAAAAAAAAAACACTGTGTAGAAGTTATTTTATATCAAATAAAAATACCACCATAATAACGTTTAATTTTCTGGGCAGAAAATAATTTAGTATTAGATAACCGCTATGTATACTTGAAATTGCGCATTAACCACAGACATGCGAAAGAGGCGTTCACTCGGTGGCGGTTTATATTCTCGTATATACTATAGGGGTTTACGAGTACTGTCTAACCATATACATTCGTGTTTTTTATTATTATTATTATTTTTTTTTTTTACAAAAAACCACTGGTCCTTAAAACTTTTAATTGTATGTTACTGCAACACAGAATATATGGAAGAATAAAGACCCACACAAATCGTTAGCGTGGGCAAAGGGCATTATTGTATGGTATTGTATTATTATGTGGTGTCTATACATAGGTACTCTATAATATAGCCGCAATAAGACTTAATAATGGACAACTATCGGATAATGATGATGCATTCTAAATTTGAATTTATCTATCGACGTTCGGCGCCAGGGAGCGTGCTTACAGGGGGATGAGGGTGTTAAATCCCTCCTCCCATTAACTTTTTTTTTATGCATTTGTTTGAAGTTCCTTGGTAGTTTCGGTTTTCTCGGAAAAAATAAAAAGTAGTTCATAGTTGGTTTTAATTTTTAGTTATGTTAATTATTATCATACATATAAAATATATTTATTAGATACTATAGTAATAGTAAGTATTTATAGATAATGCATAAATATTTTTAAAAAAAAGGTACCAATAGACTATCATAATAATAATTCAATCCATTATATACCGATATCTTTGTTATAAACGTAACCATCGGCATATTAATATATTATCAATAGTATTTATAGTTAAGAAGTTTTTAGCTATGCTAAAATAAAACTTTTATATTATTACATATACCTAATTGCTTAAATATTCGATGAATATTACAAATATATACTTTAAAAAAATGTAGAATTAATACTTAAAACTCTTTTCTCTTTAAACTTTTAAATAATAAAATTGATGATTCGTTTATATCAAGTTTGATAATCTTTAAAGTATCTAACCAAGTGTCAGATCTAGGGGGGGAAATCCGAGGCTCATGCTCGTGCTCACGGCACAAATTTCAAATGATATGAAATAAAAATAAATTACCTACTGATTAAAAATTAAACGTGTGATTTTTTTTTATTACGTTTTTATTTTAACAACAATGGCGGTGAAAGGGGGTTCAAGCTGAATAAATTAGTTGGCCAAGTTTATTCCATGTTTAGCTCACAGTCTAAATTAAATAGGTTTATACGCCAAAAAATATTTACCAGAATTAGAAACATTCTTTGGTATAGTTCAAAAATTGTTCATTTTTGTATCTAGCTCAAATCAGAGATAGAATATTCTTAATGAACATTTTAAATTTACATTGGAAGGTTAAAGTACGACTAGATGGTCTGAAAAGCAACGCGCAGTTAAATTATTACATTTACAGTTAGCCCAAGTTATTCATATTTGTAAGATATTCAAAAATAGTAATTTATGCAAGAAAAAAAGTGTTGAATTAAATTGTTTGTTAAAAGAGATTACAACTTTTAGTTTTGTTAGTTTTAGTTATGTATGTTAACTATATGGAATAAAATTTTAACGGAAATTGATAGAGTAAATGTGATTTTATAAAAACAGAATATTTCAATAGATGTAGCGACTAAACACGTAAAAGGCGTAATACAATTTATTGAGAAATTTAGAAAAGAAGGTATTGATGAAGCACTTAACGAATCAAAACAGAAAGCTACAGAGCTACAATAAAACCAGTATTTACATCAATTCGAGCTAGAAAAAAGAAAAAATGCCTGGCAAATTAGCAGATGATGGAGTATCATTTGTGTGGTGGCACGGCGCGTGGAGTTTTATTAGTGCTCCACTACTCTCTCCCTAACTAAACTTAAAAGTGAAATATCTTTTCAATGGGTTAATGGAAATAAAAAATTGTAACACCAAAATGTAATTAAAGTAATACTCCGTCAATTTGTGGAATTTTTATTATAGTTTCTCATTTGAAAAATCAAAGTTAATATCATAACAGGATATTACTTAAATGTTTTGAAAAATTTAAGTACTCGGAAATTTGAACCCACACTTAAAAAATTCCGAAAATTTAGAATTTGAATATATGCTAAATTTAACCAAAATAATGGGGTAAATTCGCTTAATGAATCACCTTGTAGATTGTTATCCATTGATTAAACTCATTAACGTTAAAATTGTCACTTCATTCATAATTGTCGCTATTATAAATGTACTTGGAATTGGACAGTATTTGTCCATAAATAAATAAATAAAATAAATAAATAATTATATTTTCGTATACGGTGCCGTACCTAATAAAATCGACATCTGGTGCCAGAAAAATTAAATGATGAGTAAAAAAAAGTCTAATTTGTCTGTTGGGCTCACACTAACTCATACGTTTATTATAAAAAATGTTCAATTACAGAACTTAAATATTTTCAAATGGCACTCTTGTCATAGCGCCCGGTGTGTGGACACCTGTCACTCCCCTTTAGGCATGGCCTTAATTGTATAGTTAAATACCTACATACAAATATTTTATTTTCAAATGTAATGTTAAAATATATGCAGAGTTATTCTTTGAAAATCGAAAGTTTGATTTACGTATATAATATGGTATAGGTAAGAGTAAAATGTTGAAAATAATATTAATATAATATCATTAAACGGTTCTATAACAATTGGAAAATAAAACGAAAATCAAATTTACTCAAAATCATTGTAAATAATCGCTGTTTTATGATAAAAGATTTATCTTGGATATTATTGACGTTCTGAGAAATAACATAAATAATAATAATAATTAGAAAAGATCAATATTTTTAAATATATTTTATTTCGAGTAATAAATATTATAGTTAACGTTTTTGTAATCATAATAATTTATATTCGTGCGTTATGTTTATTCACCTGTTCGGGAAATTAAATATACGACTATTGTAAACAAAGGGCAATTTTTGTACCTACCTTCATTAAATTAAGTTCTTTAAACGATGAAGAGCGAAAATTGAAAATGCTTGTACGAGAATAATATTGTCTGTGACCATACGGTTTGCATTATACAATATATTATAATGCATTAATATGCAAGTTTTAGAATGAAATTAAAAATATTTTGAGTAGAATTTAATAAATATATTAAATTGTCCAAAATTCATTATTTGTATAAATTATGAGTCTACTACGTAAGGATGTGAGGTTCCTATCTATTATTCTTTGTACAAAAACTAATTTCATAACTATGACTTTTGGCTTATTATTTATAAGAAAAAAAAAGAGCTGATACTGGGAACGAATGCAGCAACTGTTATAGGCGGGTAGTGAAGAAAGTGGGACGCATGCAGTTATTTAATTTGTACCTGTGACCAATGATAAACAATTAATTACGAAAAACGATTCGGAGCGAAGTTCGGTTATATATGTTTTGAAAGGCCGTACTATTTAAGATTTTCGTCAAAATTTGATTTTAAAACTTATGAAAATAAAAAAAAACATACATTATACTCAGCCGTATGTTTTGAAACAAAACTTATTTTTTTTTTTCTCTGTTACCTACCCGATGTGGTTTGCAAATACATTTTTACGGAAATTGGGTTTGACCTTGCAACCCATGGTAGACATCAGTTACATACCACTACTATACTACGATATACATACATACAAAAAGACAATATTAAGTTACTTAAAACATGTATAAAAACCGCAGAATAATATTAGAACTTCAAAAAGCTAAGATTTCGAAACTAAGTCAGTTCGGTCAATTCTGACTTCACCATCGTATTTAAATCGCTAATAGGTATGCATAAGAATCAAAACAAAAAAAAATTGAAAAATTAGCATGGACTAATAACTAGATTTGTTCCACATAATTTTTTATTCAAACAATTTTCGTCAAAATTTGATATTAAAATTCGTTTATAAAAAAAAAAAATACTATATAAAGCTTAAATTGTTTTTTAGTAACAAAGTACGATATTTAAGGAACATCCTGTTAAATTTTCAACAATTTTTATTTAGTTTCACAATTTTATTCACCGAGTACCTACCGAATAAATTACGTATAAATCTCTTAAAATTAAAATGTCTATGAATAGCTCAAAAATTGGTCAAATGTTCTGAAAGTTTTACCACGTCTAGTAAAAGGAAACATAAGTTTTTTGTCAACAAGTCTATGAATATTTTAAACTGAATTATATTAAAAAAAAAAAATTTTAAATAATAACTAGGGGTCCCGCCGTTGACCGAACTAATTTTAGATTCCGAGCGTAGCAAGGGAGTTATTGCTTTTACTAAAATGTTCCTTTTTTTTGTTCTGTGGACACGTTTCTTTCTTATAACTTGCTCTGATTTTTACATGTAGCAAATTTTCTGAAAGCTCAAGTTTTCTAGATTGTAGTTTTGTCATTTTTTGATTTTCGACGCCATTTTTTCAAATTAGAGCACTTAAATGGGAAAAAACGTAGGAAATCTACAATTTCACGAATTCATTATTTTATAAAACATGGACGGTGGTTTTTACCAGAAAAAAATGATTCAATTAAAAAACCCCAAGACACTTTTTTTGTTGCCTTTTTGATTTACTTTCATATGGTGTCATCGTCAAAACTTTTGAGCCACTTTTGAGTTTTTAAGGAATTTTAAATTTTGGGATTTTTTGCTATAATTAGATTATAAATACTAGTAATACTTATATTGGACTTACCTAGACGTGGTCAAGTTTCCAAATCATTGGACTTTTTATTTTTTTTTAACAAACGTTTTGAAATTAAATTTAAACGAAAATCGCAAAAAAAATTAAGGCACTTCGAATTATATATTACAGAACTGCGCTCGGAATCGTCTTTCGTAATGCAATGGTTAATCGTTGCTTACAGATTTAAATGAAATAACCTTATATATCCTTCCTTCCCAACTTCTTACGTGCAACAATGGCCGCTCCCATTCCTAGTATCAGCTCTTTTTTTTTTAAATTATAGTTTACCCATATTCCTTTTTGGTTTTGACCCTGTCAGTATTCAATGAGAACAAATTGGTGGAAAGTGGTTAGTCCACCTTCTCGGACTAAGAGTGTTCTGTTGTAACATTTTTTCATGATTTTAATACCATAAAAAGTATCTTAATACCGAATTTTGGCGAGGGTTGATTTCAAACGAAGTGAAGCCTTATTTATCGTATCGAGGAGTGAGGACGCTCGACAGTGGAAGAGTGCGTGTACTGTATTATAATCGTTACTCGTAGACGGCATGGCGTTCCTTTTATGCTTTTATGTGCGTATTTGCTGACAATTTATATTTATATAAAGTTACTAACTCGGTTGTCAATATATATATATATATATATATATAATATATATATTGGAAAATTTGGGAATTTGGATAATCGTGGTGTAACCAGCATTTGTTGGTTAATATCGATTCATTTTATAGAGGATATTTTATAAAAGTGAATCCTGAAGGATCGCTACGCTCCAAATCTAAAAAACAACCACGTAAATGGCATTTTTATGTTTAGGTATAAATCGTAAATTACATTCTAATACCTTTTTACTACTTTAAGTAGACTAACTTTTATACTTTTTATTTAAATTTTGTCCTCGATAAATATGAACAATTATAATAATAAATTCGCTTGTGTACGATAATAGATACAAAACTAAAAATTTAAATTGTAAAACAATCATTACTGATTTAAAGTAATATCTATTCATATTTATTATGAATGATTTTTTTAGTTGAAGAAAAATTGTTATGCTTTATACCAATGATCATCATTTAAATATTTATACATATTAAATATCTTAACATTGACTGTACATGTATTTATATTCAAATTCGATTTTTGTATTTCCAAAAAAATAAATGATTTTTTACTCTGGATTAAAAAATAAATTGCTTCTTTTCATTAAATTTATCGTTATATTAATCAAAACAAAAACGTGCATCATAAATAAAATACTTTAATTGTTGAATATAATTTCTAAAAACTTAAAATTAAGTAGTTATATAAACTTCTATCTATTCTTCTATCTATCTTATAATAATTATATAATATAGTATTACAACGAATACATTATGAATAACTTTATTATAATTAGAACATAATAAGTGTGAAATATTGAAAAGAAATTTTTTTTCTAAATATTAATTACTTCTTGATTTAGTTATGTATTATGTTTTGTAAAGTTACGACTGAATAAAATTGTAATATTGGATTCACTTTAAACTTAATAATTCTAAACATTGCATTCTTTATTCAAATATTAACCTTGTACACTAATACGTAAATATCTATAAATGTAAAATATCAAAATTAAAACCGATTAAACTTTTTGTTAAATTTATTTTTAATTGTAGTTGTTTCAATTTTTAAATATTTATGAATATATTCTTGGTAATTGCGAATTATCTATCTTAAAACAATTTTCTTACTCACTCGCCAACTAAACTAAATTTTCTTTCGGAAAATATGCTTCTCTTGAAATTTGGATCATGGTGGCAAAAAAATGTTTGCGGCGTACCGTACCATATACGTATACAAGGGAGACCTATTTAAAAGCGACCTACTTGCTCAGGTGATAAGAGAAAATGGAGGGTTTACAGAGAAGGAAAAGAGAGTATGAGATGGAGAGAGAGAAAAGATAACGGTTCGACACTTGTCAACAATAATTCACCTCCGTCGACTCGCTACGGATATTGTTTCTTTCTCCATTTCCAACGGCCGTTACCCGATAAATTATCGACAAAGTCCTCGGGTTTACGTATACCTATGGTCGATTCTCGCGCCTCTTAGACTTTTAACCCCCTTCCACCCGCAATTCTGTTTTGTTCTTTTAAAAATCCCTAGTTATAGGCAATGTGTTAGAAGAAAGAAGAAGAAAAAAGAAAAAGTTTCTAAAAAAAAAAAAAAATGCGAAATAAGTTAGACCACCCCAATTGTTGTTAACTTCTTCTATATATATATATATATATATACGCTGCAGGATTTGACGATATTATTTCTCGCTCAAGGGTAGCGCGCGTCCCTTCCGGTACACCCGTGCTGGTACCCCGCGATTGAAATAAGTCCCATTTTGTCGTCTCCGACGACCCTCAAAACTTATTCCTCACTGCCTGACAGTTCCTTCATCATCGCATACATAAGACCCTTATTTCTATAGATTAGTTTTTCTTTCACCCACTATACCGCCGTATAGTGGGAACGAACCTTCTTGTCCTTATCCATGGTTAAGACAGGAGAACCAAAAACTTTAACATTAGTCACTTCAATTTCGTAAAACCCGGCCCTTCTTCGACGTCTTAGATCAGGAAATTACACAATAACATATTATAAGAAACCACCGTTCGAGTCGCTAATTTATAGCATGAGAAAACGGTCCTAATTTATTGTGTGAAATTTAATGATCATCGGGTGCTAATTATTATTATTACTACAGTCGCGTGGAAATCGCATCCATGCTACACTTCGTTCAGACAAATAAGGAAAACTGCGAGACACGTGTTTATAATTTATTCTCTCTCAGAACAGCGGTAATCCATGAAGCAAAATTTTTTAAACCTCAAGATTGTTTAAAACAGTATACCTAAAATAAACAGTATACAATACGAAAATTAAACGTTTTTAATTAAAATAAATTTCTTAATCTGTATACAGAGAAAGTTCTGCAGACACTTTACGTGTGCACACATCATCTCACTCGGTTATTCAACTTTATCCTATTTTTACGTTGTAAAGATTTTTATATTATGTATAATGTATGTTATATTCTATAAAAAAAAATTGCTTTATTAATCATCACAAAAAGTGTTTTTCCATTTTTTTTTTCTTCTTACCGACTCAAGGCTTTATGTATGTAGATACTTTATTAAAATTCGAAAAAATAAAGATGCTTTTTCCTTTTAAAAACTAAAAATTCACTCGTTTGAGCGATGTTATCAATAAATCGTATAAATGTTAAAAGTGTAAAATAATAATAATATTAAACTGCAAAAAAAAATAGTCTTGTACTGCACGGCGCGGCGCGATTAGTTCAGTATGGTGGCTCAAGAAATAAGAAAAACGCTATAACGAATTTCATTTCTGACGTTTGCGAAATCCTCGTCTAACCACTTCTTGTTATATCCTATTAATCATCGTGACGTTTATAATGAAACAATAGCCGCAAAAGTATCCTGGTTAAATTTATCAAGTTTTATTACGTTATAAAGATATTAAGTGTGTATGTATAAACAATAACTTTTGTATCTTTCTTTTCAAACCCGTTTATTTTTGTAATTGGATATTTTTCAAAAATATAATTGTAATATTTACAAAAATGTTCTTCTTTAAGGAAATACTGCATGCGAGTGTTCCAGGCCTAATATTATTAACGATATAAAATTATATGTTGAGAAAAAAAACCCGAAACAAACTGTTTGTTTTTTATAGTACTCGTAAAATTATTAACCGCGATATAATATTTGGTTGTTAACCCGAAAACGGTACTCACGCCGTGTTTACATTCAAATGAGTGGATAGGAATAAAGGATGATCTGAGACAGGTAAAACGATTTTCTATCAACATATAACTGTGCGTCGAAAAGCACTTTCTTTAATTTGTCTCACCTAAAGGATTAACAGGGACTTTGAAAGAGAAATCTTCACCACGTTGTTGGAAATACTTTCAGAATACTTACACATAAAGACGTGTGAATGCAAAAAAAAATTAAATAACACGAGTCCTAAGAGGGCAGAGAAAAAGAAAACGAAGGGAAACCGATGACGGTATTATGACACCATAATTAATTATAAACGAACCCCTATTCGGTAGGGAGAAACAGAAAAAAGAAAAACTTAATGAAGTCTCGTAGTATATAATATTTTTTTTTTCCGAAGACTTCATTTTTCTCTCCCTTTTTACTACAACTCCGTTGTAGTTGGTGTCAGCCATAACACGCTGAAAGCGGGAGGGCGGTAATTAGGGCTTTTCATAAAATAATCCTAAGACTGTTGCAAAGTAGTAGTGCGCCGCATAGTGAATGGTCCGACGAATATAATATAATAAAATGTATTGTAGGTACAATCTAAATTATAAATATGTAAATGGTAATATTTCATAACAAAAGTTGAATACGAAAACACGTTTAAACGAAATATTCATAAATTATTGTCTATACATTTATAATAAAATAATAAAGTAAAAAAAAATTATTTAAATTGTTAATATTCATAAATAAATGAAATAAACAAATATAGTAAATAAATATATAAATAAAAAATGTATATATAAAAATAAAATAAATTATTTAACCAGCGTGTCGCCTGGAGTATTATGATAAGTGTATTTATACGACCGATTTCGAATTAAAAATTCATCATCAGGTATATCACAGTCAAAATGTAAAACGCAACTCAATATAAAAAATTAAATAAAGTAACACATAGGAAAAACAAAAATTAGTCAAAACAAATTGGTCGTTTTACATAGAATATGGAAATAATTTTTTTTAATAGGAGAGATTATTTAAAATTAGTTATTATTAAACATATATATGTAAAAAATATAAATTATTTAGTTCTAATTTATTATCTAAAATATATTGATATAAGATATTATTTTTATAATCAGTTTGAACATTTAAAATATTATTAAAATTATTTTTCTTTATTTCATTTTGTATGTGTAATTCTTATAAAATTTAATTGATGTAAATGTTATTTTGGGTATTTAATATTTATAAGTCTGTATTAATATCAAAACTTATATTATGGTTATTTTCTAAAACATAATTAACAAATTTGAATTATGGACAGTCCTTTTTAATTTTATTCCTAAAATGTGTTCTTTATATCTTATTTTAAAATTTGTATTTGTCTTACCTATATACAATTTATTACAGTTACATTAAAGTTTATATATATACCAACATTTTCAAAAGAAGGGTGATTTTTGTAAAGTTTTTAGTTCTATTGTTTATATTTTTGATTAAATTATTATTTATCTTAAAATCTTAAGATTTTTTCAGTTTTTCTCGGTTTTCCCATGTTTTTTTCCGATTTTTCACATTTGCTGGGAAAACTCCTGAGAAAATCGAAAAATGACCTATTTAAAGTACCTCCCCTATTGGACTTCCTTTTAGAAATATTACTATCATTATATGTTTGAGGAAGTTGCGATTAGAAAATTTATGCACAGGAAAACAAAATCATAATATTTTAGTAATATATTTCGTACATTTTCCCGTTTTTTTTTCGGTTTTTCAAATTTGATCAAAAAACTCCTGAGAAAATCGAAAAATAACTGTTTTACAGTACTTACCCAGTAACATTTCCTTTTAGAAAATGTGCTATAATTGGACATCAGTGCAAAATTATTGATGGAAAAGTTGTTCACATAAAAAATTTAAAAAATTAAAAAATATAGAAAAAACAATTATAATAAACATCATTGAAAAAGTAATACATTCCTTGCTCCTCTCAGCATCTAAAATTGAGAAATTTTCATTAACTATTAACAAGATTTGTTGCATATCATTTTTTACACACGCGATTTTGGTCAAAATTCCTAAACAAAAAATAATTACAAAATTAAGCTTCAATGTATTAGTTTTAAAATGATGTTTATTTTTTTTCTGTGAAAAACAACGTACTTTAAACAATTTTACTCCGATTTTCAATGATGGCACTTATTTTAAAAGAAAATTAGACTGTATAAGTACTCTGAAGAAGACATTTTTGATTTTCCCAGACATTTTACCAATGAATTGAAAGGACCGGAAAAAACTATAACAATAATTTTAAATTCACGTATTGCATAAAAAATCAGATTCATATTTTTTTTGTTCTTACATATTTTATTAAAATGTTCTAAACGCCTATATTTCGTATTATATAGATTCTGATTTATAGCGGTTGTAGCATCCATAAACTCGGACGTTGCTTAGGTTTTTTACAGAAAAAAACCGGACAACTTCGCACATGGGTAGGCCACTGTTATGGGTGAGAAGTTGGGAAGGAAGTATAGGGAAAATTGAATGTATATCTGTAAGCAACGAAAAACTATTGCTAACGAAAAAACGAATCTGAGAGAAATTCAGTTGGTAATATTGCTTTGTTTACAATATATTTGTCATGCTATGATAAAATAATTATATATGTATTATATATTTTCTTTAACCATAATTTTTAATATTTTACCTATTTTCTCGGTTTTCCTACGGTTTTCCCGTGTTTCCCGTGTTTTTTCTGGTTTTTTCCCAACTTGTTGAGAAAACTTTTAGGAAAATCGAAAAATGAACTTCCTAAGTTCTGACTGCCCAGTCAAATTTATTTTCAGAATAATTGCTATCTTTGTAAATCGGAACAAAATTTCTAGTAGAAAAGTTGTCCACAGGAAAAAAAATAAACATCTATGTAAAACCAATACATTCCTCACTCTACTCAGAATCTAAAAATTACAACACATAAATGCATTGAAAACTTTAATTTTTTTGATACACGAAAGTCCAAATTTTTACTCTCGTAAAATTAATATCCTGCAAATTCTGAAAGTTGTCCAACAATGTCCTACAATTCACAAATTTGTTGGATTAATTGGATCAATGTCTACTAATACCGTGTTGCCAAGTTCACAAGGGTATTTATTTTATCAGTTTACTACACATTTTATTTTATTTAGTTTTATTTTATTATTCTAAATTGTTAATGTGTTGCTTAGCATATCATACGCTAAATAATAAATGAATATTAAAACGCATTGATATTGCAAAAAATTCAATATCAACGAACAAAGTTATGAATAATTATTAAAATACCAAACAAATAACAAAAACAAAATTACTAAAATCGTTCTTTATTTATACCTAAATCTATACTTAAATATAATAATATAGGTAATAAATAAAACCAGTACATAAGTACACTGTACACCTTCTGTGGATGGATAATTAGGAAGGTGTATGCAAGATGTAAGATAGTTTTGTTCATACGTTAAGGAAAGGAACGATAAGTTATTATTGTAAATTGCAATCAAAAGATGATTTTGAGTAAAGTCTAGTAATTACTTTTGTGTAAATAGTAAATTAAGTTGTTTTTTTCTCTTTTTAACTACCAAAACTAAAAATCTGCATCTTTTAAAGTTCAATGTGAATAAGTAAGAGTAACTACCAAAACTGTAAAATAAAATTATTTTCCTAAAATAGGAAACATATCTAAATAAAACTTATACTTTCTTCTTCACATCCAAAATCTGAAAATAAACGCACCTGTGTGATTTTTTAAGTCCATTTGCTGTACTTAAAATAAATAGGCAAAGTACATTATTTATTTGTGAATAATCTAAAATGGTTTAAATGTGAAGTCATCGTGCTTTCCATGCATTATTATAACGCTGCAAATAAACCTGAATCTAAAATACTGATAACAGTATAATATACAAACTTCTCCAAATCGTTTTTTGACTGCAGTTATGATTTATCGTCATTTTCAGTATTTGAATTAAAAATAAATAAATAAACCATCAGTCATTATTTCTATAAATTCCCCCCAGTCTCACGACTATTTTAATTCTGATTTCTGAACTCTATCGCAATCATAATATGTTTTGAATATGATTGGTGTGTTTATATAATATTATAATAGTCAAAATATTTAAAATAATTTATTCACTTAACTTCGGGTCGTTTTAACATTATTTTAAATAGGAATGAAACTTCCTGTTATTGTTTGTTACATAATACATTTATACGAATATAGTACTTACTGACGTATATTGATATTACCCTTACAGTACACAATGAGTTATTATTGACTATAATATTATTTGTGTTCATTTTTTTTTTTAACTTTTTATCGTGCTTATATCAGTATTTATTTTAAAGGAGGACGGTGAAGATGAATTTTCACTAAAAATAACTTTTCCAGAATAATACTTATGCCTATATATTATTATTATGTAAACTACCAAAGGCAAGCTGGCGGAATATGTTAAACTGTTTTACAGTGGACTCAGTGCCTCTATAGGGCCAACATGATGATTTATTTATAAATTATATATTTCACTTTTGAAGCAATTAAAAAAAAATACACTGTACATTAGAAATTTTCTCCTTCCGCGTTAACATAGAAAATGATTGACATACGCCATAATATAAAATGTCAGAATAATGCCAAGTAGATAACAAAACTTAAATCCTGATAATAATTTTAAGTTTTAATATACAAATGATGAAACAATTTTGTTTTTACTGGGTGAGTGGGACTCTCTCTTTACTTTTCGTGTTAAAAGGCCCGTAATATACTATGCGGTGAAGTATTTTGCCACGAGCATTAAAAGTTCTAGTTACACCATTGAACTGAATAGAAACTCTTGGGAAAGTCAAAAAATAACCTCCCTAAAGTACCTTTCCAGTCAGATTTCCTTTCGTAAAAAGTTTTATCATTGTAAATTGAAGCAAAATTGTTTGTAAAAAAAGTTGTCCACAGAAAAAAAATCGAAATAATTTACAAATATATTTTGTACAATATCCCATTTTCCTCGTTTTTTCGACTTTTTCCACTTAATGATAAATCTCTTGAGCAAATAAAAATGGCCTCCCTTAAGTACCACCTCAAGAAAATTTCCTTTCAAAAAAAAGTCTACATCGTATACATCGGAGTAAGCTTTCTGGTAAAAAATGTTTACATCTTTATAAAGTCAATCCATAGATAACATCGGATTTCACACCGATTAGTAGTTACTTGAAAACTAATCATCGAATATAAATGTGTGATACATTACAATTTTCAGAAAAATAAACTTTACAGAATGACTATCTTAAAATTATCCGAAAATAATAAAATAAAGCTATTTTTTTAATTTTATTTTTTCTAAAACAAAAAAATTAACTAAAATATTAATATTTAGAGTCCTCACCTCTATGAGTAATATAAAACCTAGCCTAACCTAACAGAATTTGATTGTTTTCATTATCTCCGGAAATAATCAAGGGGTCGTGAGACACTCTGTATAAAATGAATTATAAGTTGTACTTAGAGTCTATATAACAAATTTGAGTTTAATACATTTTTTTTCACAATGGTTTCAAATCAAATTTTGACGAAAATCATAAAAATTAAGAATTTCAAAATATGTCTTACCGAATTTTGTTCCAGATCGTTTTTCATTAATAATAGTTTATCGTTACGTATAAATAAAATTTAAATAACTTTAATTATCCTACCTACCAAATTCCAATACAGTGACTGCACCCATCTCCAGCACCAACTTTTTTGTTTTTTTGAATCCAGTAGTTGACCAACTTTACTGATTTACTTTACTCATTTTATATAAAATTTTTTTACGTAGGTACCTAGTTTTATATTTGTTTAAAAAAAAAAAATTTGATATAAAACATAACTATTTTATTCGTCAAATCTGTTTTTAATATTATTTATCGAATCTTTGAGGGGCACTTTGTATTGGAATACGAGTATTAAGGACAATGAACATAGTATTATAACACTGCAGAGTGCAGCTGCAAGCATCATATTAATAACGATTTTCTGTTTGCCGAAGAACTCATCATCCACTTTTGTCTGTAAGCGGATTCATGAGATTAAAATTCTATTTTCATAATATTATTGCAACGACGTATAATATAAATGCCACCGTTGTATTTGTACCGTTATGTATGTGTTTTCATATTATACAAACACGCACATTACATTAGTATATGGAGATATATGAGTTTGTGTACGTATATAGTAGATCAGCTGTGAAATTAATAAATCAATGTTTTATAATATATGAAGTATAAAAGTGCTGTATAATTGAAATTAATCACATCAAATTATTATTATTTATTTTAGATTTATTGAGATATTTATTTTATAGATTCGGAGCAGAGCGAGGGATCTATTAGTTTTATTATGATGTGTGTTTTTGTGTTTTTTTTCTGTCTGTGAACATCTTTTCTAACCAAAAGTTAGATTAGTTAGTTTTAGATTAGCTAGAAAGTTAGCTTTTGCTCCGATGTATCAAGTGCAACACTTTTTCGAAAAGAAATTTCATCTATTTAGTACATTGGAGTATATTTGATTTTTCAAGTAGTTTTCATAATAATAGGAAAAAAACGAAAAGAAGTGAAAAATAAAAACTGGTAAATTTAGGGCGTTACAATTTTTTTATTCAATTTGTACGGTTTATGTTCTCTACCAAAAATGTTTATTTTTTTGGGAAGTCAATTAAATACATTTGTAGATAGGTGAAAATTTGACTTAAAACTTATATTTGCCTTATTTAGACTTGGTCAAATGTTCAATACATTTAAGCTATTTTTAAGATCTTTATAGACATTTTAATTTTGTGAATTTCGTATGATATTTTTATTCGATATATACTCTATAAACAGAATTATTAGACCAAACAAAAATACATATAAAATTAATAAAAGTTCCTAACCTAACCTATCCTTATAGGTTGTAGTTAGTGGTCAAAACAAAACATTGAGTTTAATGTAGTATTTTTTTACATAAGTTTAAATTTCAAATTTTAAAGGGTATAACCGAACGGTGTTCCAATTTGTTTTCCGTTAGTGATACTTTATCGTTGCTAACAGATATAAATTTAATTTATCTTCCCAGCTTCCCATCTACAACTTACAATGGTGCACCCATCAGTAGTAGTTTTCATACTACTTTTTTATCAACAGTCATTTGTTTGTAATTTTTTCAATACGTTAAAAAATATAAATCGTCCATATAATAATTATGTAAAACTCTTAAGTATAAAAATCTTATAAATAACACAACAATTACCAATTTACTACATCTATAAAACACAAATATAAATTTCTTATAAAAATGTCAGGTGTCTAAGAATATTTTTAACTAAATTACAACAAAAAAACAAAAGAGATGATACTGGGGATACGTGTGACCACTGTTGTCAGTGAGTAGTGGGTAAGGTGAGATAGATAAAGTTATTTTATTTATAGCTATCACTAACGATAAAAGATATCGATTGATATCGAAAAACGATTCGGGGCGAGTTCGGTTATACATGTTTTTAAAGGCTGTCTAAAATTGAAAATAATGATTTCTATAAAACAGTATAGTAAATTTATTAGTCGTACAAATATACTATTTTTATAGTAAATGTGTTTCTAAAAATAAATATTTTTCACACTATGGTAAATTTGTAACATTGTTTTTAATGTTACTTGTAATTAGTAACTTCCTTCATAACAAAATTTAAACTTCACAATAATGGGATTTTATAACATAAAAATAATAGTAAATATATACACATATGTATATTATAAATACAATATCCAAATAAAAATTATAAGTTACGAGTGAAGTGTTGAATAAATTGAGTGGTGACACACGTAAATAAATTTGATTGAACATTTTCTAAAAGGAAATCTGACTGGGAATATATAATAGGGAAGTCATTTTTCGATTTTTCCAATAGTTTTTCCAACAAATAAAAAACCGTGAAAAATACAGGAAAAACGAGTAAATCAGTATTATATTAAACAAATATTATTAAAGAAAATATATAATGCATATGTAATTATTTTACAGTAATATGACATATAAAGTGTTGACAAAGCATCACTATCAATTAAACTCCCCTCAGAATCGTTCTTTCGTTGGTAATGGTTTATCGTTGTTTACAGATACAAATTAATTTCATCATTTCTATGTCCTACCTTTCCAAATTCTCACCAACAACAGTGGCTGCACCCGTCCCCAATTGTCCTAAAACAGCTTTTTTTTTCTTTTTTTTTTATCACGAATTAGGGAGAGAGTAGTAGAATATCATTTGTTACCTCCACGGGGTGTCCCTGGAACATGTAATAGGAGATTTCAGTAGCCCTAATGTGATGTGAAGATATACAGAGAACAACTAAAATGGTAAAAATGTCGAAGGCTGGGCAGACAAGAACAATATGAGTTTAATACTTAAAAAGAGGGGATGTGAGCGGCTACTGTTGTAGGTGAGAAGTCGGGAAGATAGGATACCATATGGTTATTTCATTTATATCTGTAAGCAACGATAAACCATTGCTTGACGAAAGACGATTCCGAGCGCAGTTCGATAATATATAATTTAAAGTGCCGTAATTTTTTTTTTTGACATAAATAACCAAATCTAAAAATACACTTCTCACACAATCCACTCTATGCCCTACAAATAACGTATCTACAAAAAACTCTTCAGTCACTCCTCCTCGTACACCTACTTCGTCATCATCCGCGCCGTTACCTCTCGCGATTTCCACGACTCCGTCAAATGATATCAACACCTCAATAATATAAGTCACAAATCCCGCACAAAACACAAGTTTAAATTACGCATCCGCCGCAGCCATTGAAAACCTTCCTAGCAGAGAACAGGTACTCGTCTTTAACTCGATAGACGGTATACCGCAAAAAGACCATTGTCACCAATGGCAATATAATCTCTCCTAAAAATATCGTTTTTATTTCACGCATATTAAATAATCGGTTTTGCATTTTTGTTTCAAGTAAACAAATACTCAACTCATTTTTTGCTATCCACTCAATCTATCACTATTAATATCGACTCATTAACCCATCCAAGAGGATAATCATATTCAATCTATACCTAACCAAATAATTTCTGACGAGCTTAAAAACATAAATATTACACCCATGTCTCAAATTGTTCATCTCAAAGCCGGTATCAACATCGAGAGCTACGATCACATCTTAAGCTTTCACAATAAACTAACATTGATAGAAGTAAAAGTATATCAAAAAAAGCTAAAATAGTCCGATCCAGATCGAATTCCTCATCCAAGTGTCATGAGGTGAAACCCAGGGCCTTGCCTTAAATATATTAAAGTGCTCAGTTATGACATTCTGTCGTACCAATTCTGCAGTCATGTATATTACTTTGTCAATAACATACTCTTGTCAATTACAAATAACTCTGTAGAAGACTTAGGTTTCATTCTTACACGTACTCTATGCTCTAATATGTATATCCAAATAATCTGCTGTAAGGCTTTCAAATTATTAGGTTTCATTAATCGGGTGTCTATGTAATTTCTCCGGTCGCTCCATTAAAAGCTTTTTTTTGTTTCTTAGTGCGTCCTATTCTTGAACATGGCTTTATGCTCTGAGACCCTACCGCCGCTGCTTCTCGTTATATGATAGAAAGGGTCCAAAGAAAATTCCTTTGTCATGCTGCCTTTAAACTGCGTATACCCTTTCCCTCCATAATTATACCCCTGTCTAATGCTTTTTATCCGTGGATAGTCTCTCTGACCGTCGGCACTTTGCATGCATTTCTTTCCTATCTAATCTTCTTTTCTCTAAAATTGATTCCCCTGAACTTCTATCTCGCATTACCTTTAATGTTCCCTGCCATCGAACACGTTCATCGATCCCATTCCATATCCCTTTATCTTCATCTAATTACCTTCTTCGTTATCCAATTATCCGTTTTATGCGCACTGCTAATACCGACTATTCTTTTGATTTATCTTTTTAATTAACTTTCACCACATTTTGTTACTCTATAAATGTATATATATTTGTTTTATTATATTTTATTGTATAAATACTAAGTATGTAAATTGTAATCTGGGCTAGTCCCGTAATAAATGATCAAATAAATAAATAAATAAATTTGCCGGTGCTTACTTGACGCAACAAGTGTAATATATAATATTCTGAGTTGAATATATTATTGAATATATTATGTACTTTTACTCTAAAATCAAAATTTAACTAGTTTTACTTATTCTACATAAACATTGTTTTCGCATGTTACTCGGTAGTTTTACTGAGACAGTAGATAAAGGTATAACGTCCTCTTAACCGAACTCCATTCAGAATCGCTTTTCGTTAGCAATGGTTAATCTTTGCATGCAAATATATAAAGTGATTCACTAAGCATGCTTGCCCTATTTTTTGGTTAAATTTTCAATGTATTCAAATTCTGATTTTTGGAATTTTTGAGTGTAATAGCCGATATTTTTGAATACTCAGATTTTTCATAACATTTAAGGAATATCCTGTGGTGATACTAACTTTGGTTAGGTTAAATAATTAAACTAACAAAATGCCGCGCGCCGTGCTGCTACAATAATTATACTCCAAAACTTACTCTCCCCTTACCTAAACTTAAAAGAAAATATCCTGTCAATGGGTTGGCGAAAATCAAAAATGTTAACATCAAAATTTATTTAAAGTAATACTCCATATATTTTTTTATTGTAAGTTCTCGTTTGAAAAATCAAAGTTGGTATCACTAAAAGATATTCCTTAAATATTTTAAAAAATCTAAGTATTCCAGAAATCAGTATTTGAATATATGCAACATGTAACCAAAAAAATGGGATAAGCACGCTTAGTGAATCACCCTGTATATATAAGAATTTTACGTAATCGTGCTTAACCATTATATCTATACAATCGAAAATATTCGTATTCCGCAGATCATACAAGTATATAATAAAATATACATATTATACATAGGTACAAATACGAGGAGATCCATACAACTATCGTATAATAATTATAAAATTATTGTTCAACCCAATCTGAGCGATTGCAGAATGTCACTGCTGTATATACGGATTCGGATTATATTATATAGGTATTTATTCCATGTGAGGATATTCATCTATATTTAATTTTTCTGTACTTAACGTATATTTTATGTATAGAAAAAATAAATAACAAATTAAATAAAAAACAAAAAACCATAAATGTTATTGTTTACGTGTTATACATATATGTTCAGCATTTCACCCTTCGTGTAGGTACGAATGGTAATATCGTTCTATATAAGACGATAAAACGGATACGAAAAGGCGAATTGCGGGCCCGCAGAAATATGAATTAAAAATGAGATGCTTATTTGTTGTTTATTTTTTTTTTTACTTGTAAACGCTCTAGAGAGCTCTTTGCTCGTGTGTTTTTAATATAAAATGTTTTTCGTATAAAACACATAAAATATAAAATATACATTTGAAACAAGTTTAACTCGGAAAAAATACAAACTACAGTAGTACCTATAGTTCATTATTTTAAAAATATATCGCTTTTCTCTTGAATACATACAATATAAAGGTGGTATTTCATATTATTATTTGACAGTAATATTTTATAATGAGTATTGAAATTTAAATAAACAAAACAAAATTGAATAACTGAGTTAATTGTAAATTGTGTTAATTTTTTAAATAGAAATAGTTTTTTTAAAAAATGCCAATACAGCCGATACAGGCTGCGCCTCTTTTAAAAGTCAGAAGTTGGTTAGGTAGGATACATAAAGTTATTTAATCTGTAATCAATGATAAACTATTGCTAACGATTTAAAACGAAAGTAGGTTATACATGTTTTGAAAGGCGATGGCCTTTCATATTTACGATTTTCGTCAAAATTTCATTTAAAAACTTTCATAAAAATATATATATATTTATGCACAATTATATATGTATAATTTATTTACTACATAACACTCAATTTTATTTTTTTACGCATAGGAACGACTTATAATGTGATTCCTGTCTAATTTTCAAACATTACTATGTAGTCTAACAATTATTTTTTTCACCAACCAAATAAAAATTATATACAAAATGATCGACAAAAATTTAAATAGATAAATTTCAACTGAATTACATTTAAAAATTAAAATTAAAAAATTATTTTCGTAAATTTTTCTGTTCTTTCTATAAAAAATTTCACAAAAAAATATTTTTTCTGTTCTTTCTTATTTTTCGGTTTTTCCTAATTATTAGAAAAACTACAGAGATAATCAAAAACAAATTAATTATTTACGAACTAGATTAAAAATACAACAAAAAAAGTCTTTGTCGTTTATCTATTGAAAATATTTTTTTTATAGAAAACATAAGCCTAAACAATTTTAAATAATAAATCGTTGCATCGTAATTTGAAAAAAAAGATCCAATTTTTCTTCTTTGTTGGTTCTTTCCAATTATTATGAAAATGAATTTTCGTATTAAAAAACAACTAAAAGAACGAAATCTATCTCTTGTAATGTTTTGATTAAAGCAACGTTTCTGGTAGAAAACATCATGTAAACAAATTAAGAACAATCAATAATAACAACGGTAACGCCGCGGCGTGCCGTAAATATTTGCCGTTTTACCTATAATTTTCTTTTAGTGTTTTGCCAACTATTTTGAAAACCCCTTAGAAAATAAAAAAAGTGATATTTTTAGTTCACTAACTAATCCAGTGGTTCTCAACTGGTGTATCACGGCACACTAGTGTGCCGCGTATTACTATGATGTGTGTTACCAAGAGTTGTTTATTTGTACGTAAATAAGCATGTCCTCAATCGTAATCATCGTGTTGTGAGCATTGTAAGTGTCATTTTAATTTCATTAATTGTTTTAAGTGTCGTCATTTTTATGGATCTAAATTAAGATGTCGTCATACAAAAAAAAATTGAGGACTACTGCTCTATACATCGGAGCAAAATGTCTTTTAGAAATGTTGTATACAGACAGCAAAATAAAAAAAATACATAGGTAGTAAAGTAAAACCAATAGACCTACATTTTTTTTCGTTGAACAATTATATCCACATAGTACCTATCAAAGAAAAATTACATATATAAACTAAAAAATTTAAATGCCTATAAATAGCTCAAAAACATTTTCAGTCTATTTTGATAACTTCTAAAATGACAAATATAAGTTTTCTGTAAAATTTTCAAAGTTTTACGTATATTTTTAACTGAATTACTTAAAATTTGAAATTGAAAATGATAAAACCATTATTTCCGTAAACTTTCATTTTTGTTTCGGTTTTACTCAGTTATTATGAAAATCACTTTGACAATTTTTGAAAATTTAACTAATTTATAATATATTATGATGTAGGTTATGGGTAGTATGGTTGATTATACGGTGTTTATCAATTAGACCGATTTTGGAACACTACCTGTATTATATACATCTATTACGACGGTACAAAAAAAGGTTTATTAAAAAGGTATACACCAATTGCGCCGATCGATAATCCGTGTTGTAATCTAGTATATCTAAAAATAATTTTATGTGCGATTTATCATACAGCAATATTGATTGAAAAACGTTTATATCTTTATATTCTGGAAAATTATTACTTTTATAATAATATTATTTGATTATTTGAAGATAAATAAAATTTAGACAAGTATTATCCATTTAGAATATAAATTGAAAATCAATTTAGTATACAATGTGTTCCACTATATTCGACGGATTTTTTTGGAGCTGTTAATATTAAATTCTTTTCAATTTGGTGTTTATTCAAGGAACATTGAATAGTCGTATTAATTTCAAGAAAAAAATGTGAAAACAATTAATATTCAATAAACTACTGTTACAATATGAAATTACCGTGCAGTGATTGTAACTACTATTAAATATTAATTGTTTTCACACTTTTTTGCTTGAAATTAAAACGGCTATTACTAAGAAACTATTTTGAATTTGATTTGAATGTGTGGTGCATTAAAAGTTTAGAATAATATGTTTTAAAAAATAGCTATTTTTTAAATTTTTTAAAGTGAATAAATAAAAAGTTTTTTTTATGTTTAGAGGATTAAAATACAAATTTAATTTTTTCCAAATCGATGTCTCCCTTGAAGACAAACCGATTAAAAAAAAAATTGAAAAATATTTAATATAAACAGCTATAGAAAAATCTGTCGACATGGTGGGTCATACTGTATAAATCCGTAGTATTGTTCCGAGCGTTATATAATATAATCGTCGTTATTTGTGTTCTTTAAATTAATTTTATAATAATCATAATGGAAATAATTTTAAGTAAATGTTGTAAGAAACAAAGCATTCACCAACACTATATATCTTATTGTAAAGAACTTACCAAAAAAATACAAAAACGGAGGTGTAAAAATAAAAATTTAAACTGTAAGCTGTGCCTTGACGATGGTAAAACTATAATTTTAATTGAAGAAATTAAACACAACCATTTTCATCTTGAACACCTGGAACGCAAATTATTTCAACGACAGTTGTATCTACTAGGTTAAATAAATTTCGTAAAGTATTATAGAAATATATTATATTATATAGAATTATAAATTATTATATAAATTGGACTAAAATTATACTAAAAATTAACTAAGAAATATCTATTTATTTCAATTATTATCAATTCTGCGACGCAATAGATGTATACTTTTTTAGTAAACCTTTTTTGTACTGGCACGATTGATGTATACCTATTTGTTATCCTATAATTTTTTATTTTTTTACCTGTGAATTCTGGCACAATTGATTATAATGCCCTAATTATAATTCCCAATTCAAACAAACAAAACGAATAGCAGCACATCCAATTTCCCGATGACTTCAGTATTCTGTTTGTGGGAGAATAGAATTTGTGTATTTGTTATATTATTATTTCGTCGATTACAGTCACGTTTATTTTAACGCAAAACGTATAAAACATATAAATCGTAAAACTAAATAATAATAAATCGTAGCCAACTGCACATTGGTTCTACTGCAGTAGGAGGTATACGTGTATATGGTATATACGCACTTCCGAAACGAGTCCCAGTGCTGTCTGGTAGTGTACCTTAATATTATTTAATATTACGGAGTTCTCGGTTCAAACGCTCTCCGAATAAAATACAAAACTAATCTTGTCTAGTAGTTCGATATAGATGTATATGTATTAGATATATTGAAGAAAAAAAATATCCGAGGGGAATTGCAGCAATCCGGGGAATGAAAATACAGAAATATATAAAGACAATATAATATTATAAGCCGATATACGCATTTTACAGAAAAGAATTACGTAAAACGGAAACCGTCTCTAAGAAGTAAATTACTATTCTTACAGGTAGGATATTTATGTATATTTTATTGTATTTTCATTAAAATGCGAAGACGAATACAAACAAATGGTAATCATTAATTCTAGACAAAACTATACCAACAAATATACAATAGAGGAAAGTGGGACAGATTGTAGAATGATTTGACATCGCTACGTTCCGAAACTGAAAGTTATAATTAGACCCCGGATTATATGCAATGAAAAACTCTATTACATGTATATAAATATGCATAAATTATGTTAAAATATGTACTAAAATTTGAAATAATTATTGAGAACTCTATAGTTCTCGTAGCAGTATAGGTATTACTAGATGTAGAAAATAATTTTTACCCAACGACAATAACATGCAGTCACGGAGTGCTTATGATGAAATTATATTGAACAGTTCCAACAAAATACTTTCCGATAAATTATTTTTCCAACAAAATACGATTCGGACAAAATATTTTCCGATGAATTATTTTTACCAAAAATAACTTTCTGACTTAATATTTTTCGACTAATTATTTTTCTAGAAAAAAACATTGAGACGTAATATTTTTCCAACAAAATACTTTCCAACGATTTATTTTTCCGACAAAATACGTTTCCAAAAAAACCCATTTCAAACAAAATACTTTTCAACAAATTATAGCGCTCTCTTTAGAATAGTCATCTTTTGAAATCTCATTAATATTCGAGATAATGAGGAAAAACCGGTTCTTCAGTTAAAAAAGTAAATATCTTTATTAAACCATAAGCTTATTTGCTCTTTTCCGAATCTAAAAGTCATGGAGGACATCCACATGATCCATTCCCGTAAAGTCACTAATTGGGATTGTTGTAGTTTACGGCATAATTCAGATATGTTTAAAACTTCGGAAAGAATTCAAAACTAATTATTAACCAATCTATTCATTTTAACCGAAAATGACGATTAATAAAATATAAATTAAGTACCTATATCTACTTACACATATTGCGAGCTTATATAAAATGATTAAAGCAATTTAAAAGATAATAAAGTTTCGATTGAATCACATTAAATTGTTGGGTCTCCAAAATATTGTAAATAAATCACTTTACATTGAAGTAAATCGATTAAGGGTGTATAAAGGATTGAGAGAACTTCGCGTAATATTATTAATTCTGATTTTCCTGGTAATTTTCGGCGGGCTAATTATAATACACCAATGATATAGAATAGTCAGAATTGAACTTTTAATCGTTCTGAAATCACGAAAAAACGGAAAGGGTTTTAGCACTTTTTATTGTGAATTTTTAGCTCGTTTAAGAAAAATATAATTAAAATTCGTGACTAAGCTTTAAATTAGAATATAGACACACACACTGCAAAATAGTGTAACATTTTATGGATATAAATTTCAATTGATGGATATTTGCCCGATGTTCTACTTCAATTTGACATAAAGTTTATAATATAATATTATAAATAATACTTGAAATAATAATGTTTAATACCAACTTCTAGTAAACTTAATTTGTTGAGATATTTGTATAACTAACATATTTGGAAGCCATAAGTTCGTAAACCATAATAATTATAGGGAACCTCGTACTCCCACTCAATTCATTTGTGCGTTTTACAAATAATATTATATAAAGTGCATATAAATATATCATTATTTTAATTATCAATTTGTTTTTTTTTTTTTTTTTTTAAGCAAAACCGTCATAATTTATTTTAGAGGGCACTATAAAATTCATATTTTTCCCAACTTGATAATATGTAAAGTCGATATGTTTAATAATTTACTCACTCATTTTAATTTTTCGATAAACACTTTTAAAATCGGAGTGTAGCAAAAATATATATATTATATTGTAAATATATTATATTATATTGTATGGTCTTATCCAAATAGTAATAATACAATTAACAAACATAAATAAATATTTCAAATATAAATTTAGGTGACAACAATTATTAAACATGTCTAATATAGCTAAAAATAAATAATGTAATAAACAAATAAATATAATAAATTTAATATGTATAAGGATCACACTTCTTTTTCTAATTCAGTCAGTCATCAAACAACGCCCCCTTCCTATGCGTGTATTTCATTCCTCTTGGAAAATAGTGTGCCGAGCATTCCTCGACAAGGTGTTCCATGGTGTTGGAACAGCACAACTAATGACAACTTGTACGTAGCCCATCCTTCATACGGCGCTGCACAGCGTCTTTTCTTTACGCTGTATCAATATTATCAACCTGGTGCTGTGTAAATCCTAGAGTTTAGACTCTAAGACCATCACAGCCTTTCCAAGGAAGTAATAGTATCAGCAATAGCGAGAAAATAAAATTGATTTTACTAAGATGTATGTTTTTTTTGTGTTTATCCGTAAACACCTTTTCTGCTAAGAATCTCGATCTGATCATCACTATAAGGGTGATTTAATTTTCCTTATAGTTTTTTTAATAACTAGGGAAACCCAAGATAAAAACTCCATAAACGAAAATTTGAATGGAATACCGATTTTTGTTAGAAATAATTGTAAACGGGAAAGTTTACGAAAATAGGTTCATAGAGACTTGAAATTTTAACAGAAATACTTATAGAAAGACATATTTGTCTTTTCTAAACGTAAATAAATTTTAAGTATATTTCGACATTTTTGTGTTATTTATAGGCATATTATCCTTGCCCTTTTTACATAATTTTTATTTGGTAGGTAATATATATATATATATTATTGTTTGACTAAATAGAAATTCTTGAAAATTTATCAGGAGGTTTATTATAAGTTTATTCTTAGTCGTCGTCAAAAAAAATGTAGTGTTGTGTATAGTAAATTTTACTTTATAAATTATTAGATTAAATTTCGATGAAAATCATAAATATTGCGGAATTTGTTTTTCATTAAAAAAGGCTTATTGTTGCTAAAATATATAAATTGAATATATTTATTCATTAACATCCAACATACAGGCTGTCCCATGAAGATATATACTCCTTGAATATCTCCGGAAATATTCAATATTTATTACTACTACTAATTGTATATCTTCGTAGGACAACCTATACGAGGGCTAATCAAAAAGTATCGAGACTGATAATATTACTCGGAAACCGAGCGTTGAAGAGCAAAACGATTTGTAAACCTAGCTTCTATGACTTATACTGAGCACATCTATTCGTATAAAATCTCTATAAACTTCTTCGTTTTGATTTAACAATATTTTTCTAAAATTTGTTTTTCACGTTTGGCGATTTCGTAATGAATCCAAAAGAAGCGGAACTCGCTACCACTCGAGGGTATATTTTCAGTTTTTCAATTGACATTTAATGGCAAAAACCATGAAATGTTGCATCCCTCTGAAACTGGAAAAAAATGCAGACAAATTTTCTAAAATCTCCAAATCTGTCAAGTTACTCTTCTTTTGGGTTTATTACAAAATCGCCAAACTCGAAAAATATATTTTACAAAAATATCAGTGAAATCAAACCGAAGANGAAAAAGTCATAGAAGCAAGTGATACCAATCCTACTGCTCTTCGACGCTCCTTTTCCGAATGATACTATCAGTCTTGATACTTTTTGATTAGTCCTCGTATATCAGTAATAGTAGCAGAATCATTCTAATGCTTATCTAATGGAAATTCAAAATCATGGTTCACATTTTTTTTCTTTTAAGTCCAAAAGTCCATTTATTTTATATATTCAATTCAGACTAGTCTATACATTATATGAAACTAATAAACTAATAGAGGAGTGATTGGGAGTGGAACGTATATTTTAGATTTGTAGCGTAGCGAGAGATTTATTGTTTTTTTTTTTTTTTTTTTTTTTATGTGATGAACAATTTTTCTACCAGAAATCTTGCTCCGATGTATAACCTTTTATACACCTTTTCTGAAAAGGAATTTTATCTTGTTGGCGCATTAAGAAGGTCATTTTTTAATTTTCTCAGCTGTTATATAATAGTTCATAAGAAATGGGAAAAACGTTTTTATTTTGATTCAGTTAAAAATATTTGTTGAGAATTTAAATTTCGAAAAATAATTATTGAGACTACACACAGATTCTCAATACTTTCAATGTGCTTTGGAGCACATTATTTTGCAATAAATATTTATTTTTTTTTACTTAATCGCTCTCCCCCCCCCCCTTAGGATCCAGCCCTGAATTGTACTAAAAATTGAGATAAATACTAGTATAATTTTTATTATAAAAAGTAATTAGTCAAAATAAAATATTAAAAGTAAATATTTTTTCAGAAAAAAACTCATATGAAAGTCATTCTAAAGAAAAAATAAACACAAATTAATACTCCTATCAGAATCCGCGATATTTTTGATGAAACCTTAAAAGATCTTATTGAATCTGTTAAGTATTTAAGTATTCAATTTGATAATTTTGGACAACAGATAAAACATTTGATACCAACAGTTAATTGCTTAAAAGATAAAAATAAGTCAATTAAAGAAGAAAATATGTTTCTTCGCAGTGTATTATCTTTACTATCAGATGTTATTGATATGTTCGAGCAAATAATGTTAAATTGTAATTTATAGAGATAACTAGAGTAGCTGAGAAAAAAAAAAATTATACAAATACAAAAAAAAAATTACTTCTAAATTGGGTATAAATGTTGCAATGAATAATGTTTTTCGAATGCCTTTAAATATTATGGATAAACCAATAAAACTATCAATACACTGTAACTCACTTGATGATAAACATAAAATTATGGAATTTGCCAAAAACAAAAACTGATTTCAAAGAACATTGACATCAATTGGAAGGACACAAATATATATTTTAATGATCAGATGACGTCTATCAACAGGAAACTATTTTATAAAGCAAGATCTACCGCAAAAGGTTTGAATTATAAATATATCTTTAACCAGGCGGTTTAAAAATAATAAAAGTTTTGTTAAAAAAACGATATCTCTAAAGCAGTACTTATCATGGATGAAATTAATATGATATTTTTGTTTTCTGTATATATTCTAAAAAATAATTTTAAATTTAATATTTCCATTCTAGATTAAATAGATAAATTTAAAAATTATCATATTAAGTATTTGAAAATATAACTGACTTTGTAAATAATTTTTCCTTTAATAATATTTTCTTAAATGTTTTTTGCAACAGTATACGTAGTTTCAATGTGAATTTCGATGAATTTATGCTATTTTTAGAAAATTATACAAATTATAAAATTACTGATTTGTATTGTACATTTAAAACTGTCTTATGTATTCGAGTATTGAATTTGATTAGTATGCTGTGTCTTTTGGCAACCCACTTGGTGGGCAGCTATTACTTAAATAAAAGTTGTTTCTCTCACTTCTGGTCCAGTTATATTAATATGTCTATGACGGAGACGATGACCGGTGCAATTTATTGTATAAGGTACGTGCAGTTAACTTTGATTCGCTGATTACTGTACGCACACTACGCATATTGATATTATAATACATTTTGTACCCAAACAGGGCTATAATACGTCTACATACCTACGGTTTCTATACCATTACTATCATCTCTACCATATTACTATTACTACTGCTACCTGCTACACTACTCATTATGCACACAATCGGCGAGTGTCTAATTTCAAGACTGTCAGCCACTGTGCAACATTATACCGTATTTACCGGTTGGCGTAACGTAACCGTTAAGTTAACCATTACCCTTTGACGGGTCGCTTTCGTCTGCCATATTATATACCGCGACCCCGTGACGCACTGCGCCTTCGAAATGAAGTGATTACATGGTGCGGTGTAGGCAACGATCGTTTCCCTTCGTTTACCCTGCATGCTCTCACCACAACACCACAAAGGTCTGACGTGATCTTTTCACTCGTGCGTCGCGTCACACTAGTACACTACTACTGCTAATATATTATACCTACGAGTATATGTATGTGTACATTTTTTTGTCACCTCAGTTCGTACCTATATAATTCTATACCGAGTAATTTTACGACCGTGTAATACGCTCCACGTGACTCGTTGGAAGCTGTAAAAATCACGTTTATTCGGCAAAAATAAAAATATAATAGATAGTCTTTTGAGCTATATAGGCGTGTCTACGGGGGAGGCAAAATGGAGAGCTGCTCCTCAGCGACTAATTCGAGCTATAGGAGGGTTTTACCATCTCAATCATTTATATTAAAATATTAAAGAATTTAAATTATTTTTAATTAATGATAATTAATATTAAATAAAACCGACGACGTTCTTAGTTAATGATAATAAAATAGCTATTCATATGTATAACGTCTTCCATAATAATGCTGAATAGTGAATATCACGGCTATCTACAGCCGTGTATATATTTGTAAAAATAAAAAATATTTAATTATATAATATTTTTATGAATATATTATTGTTTTGTTATGTAATAATCAATAAATTTAGTTAGCTATTTAGATTATAATAAATTGTTTAAAAGGAACTTCTTTAATTTACCAACTTGATTGAATTTACTTTTAGAAAAGGTGATACACTTTATACATCGTGGAACAAGATTTGTTTTCGAAAAGTTGTTTACAGTCAAAAGAAAAAACACATACATTGTAGTAAAAACAATAAATCCCTCGCTACTATCTAATATCTAAAATGATTACATTAAATTATCTAATTATAAAATTCTGATTGTAGCGAAAAATGTATTGGTTTTATAAAAATATTTCTTTTTTTTTATACTGTGTATAAAAATTCTATCAAAATTCTGGCTCCGATATATACGTACGGCACCATTCCTGAAAAGAAATATTGACCAGATGGTTCTTTTAGAAAGTCATTTTTTGATTTTCGAAGCGGTTTTCCGAATATCTGAGAAAAACCAAGATAAAACTTAAGAAAAACGGGAAATTTACAAAAATAATTATTTTATTATTTTTTCTATTTTGTTTTTTATTAAAATTCAGTTTAGAATATTCGTATCAACTTTATGGACTTGAAATTTGGACAAAAAAAATATATTTATCTTTTTTACACGTGGTAAAATTTTCTAAAAATTCAAGCCGTTTTTAAGCTATTTATAGACAAATATATTATTTATGAAATTATTTTAAGGTAGGTTATCGTTTGTATTATCTATTTTGAAAAGTTTGCCCGACTATTTTAATACTACTTCGACGCCACTGGCCGATTGGTATAATTAAACATAAATTAAACTATAACTAGGAATGTGGAAATTAAAAAAAAAAATTCTTTTAAAATGTATTATTCAGATCAATTATCATTATTATTTGTTTTAACATTTTCCCCAATAATCTAACCATAATGACAGATAAAAAAGACATACATATGTAAAGCTAATGAAACGGAGTACAGATCAATTACATCATAGATTGAACTATTTTTCGAACGTTAAGTATAAGATTATTATTTAACTGTTATAGATATATTATATTTTGTTTTAAATGTTTTAATTTAAAAATAATTTGATATTTTAGTAAAGCTAAATTATTTGACATGATTTAAAATAGCCTCGAAATCGTTTTCATTCATAAAATGTATTGAAAAATATGTGGTTTTATATTTTTATTATTACTCAGGGAAAAAGATAAAAGTTTTAGAAAAAAATTATTGCAAAATAACTTTTGTTTGATAAATAAAAAAATATTGTATGTTGTATGTTTAACCATTTTATACACGATTTAAGTGTCTAATAATAAAACTGTATACTTTAGTGCCTAAAATCAAATGTATCCCAAAACAACATATCGTGTTGGAGGTCAATAAAACTTTGAATCTCGTGGGAGTTTTGGTATGGATTTTTTACGTATTCCATACAAAGCTTTTTGAGGTCACTTTACCTTAAATTATATAGGTAAACGGTTGAGAGAAAATATTATATTCTATCAAAATTCTTACTGTGTGTGTCGTCCGGTCAAGCCATTTCACAATATAGTAGTTTTACCTCTAATGCAACACAATACTTCTGGGAATAAATATGGATATAACAGAAGAAACCTATTGTGGTCAACAATTCGAGGTGTATCCGAAATAATAATTTTTCAAAGATTAAACACTAAAATATTTATTTATAGTCGGATAAAATATTTTTTTTAAATAAACTTTATATTTAATTCACAATGTCGATTTCGTTTTCAGGTATTATAATAATGTCGAGCGAAAAATTCGATTAATTATACTTAATCAATATAACTTTTTAAAAACTTTGTTTCCAGCAATACTATGTACATTAACTTTTCAAATTATTGAGGTTATTTTAAAAATATAATGTTATCATAATGAAATTTGTTTGAACAAAGCGGAAGTACTAGGTTAATGAGTATGTTTCATTTCATACTGCAGTATAATATTATTAACAGACGTGTAAAATGTAAATAAAACAATACTTCAATATTTTTGCACAATTTAAATAAAGTTTATTAAATTGTTTAGTATAGTTTTCCAATCATCTTAAGTAGGTAGATATATTACTATTTATATCAATGGAAGAATTTTACTAAACGAAAAACGTTTTTTATAGTCCGAAGTAACCCCATACCAAATTTTATAAAATGTTTTTGACGTATTCTCTCTCTACAGATGCCTATATTTACGAATTAGATTTCTAGACCAAAAGTAGTCAAATTAATATAATTGACGGCTGACGAGAAACCTGAAGAGATTCTTCAACCTTATACGCGTGGGGTGGTGTTTCTATGACAGCAATTATTATTCTTTCGAGTATAAATTTTTATCTGTCACTTTAGAAGCAGGCAATGAGGATTATGTAATGGTAAGGTTAAGTATATATATATATTAAAGACCTTATCTATGGTCGAAAGACATTATATTTTATTAAAAACTTTATTCCAAACTGAACAATAATAATTCTTTCTCAAAGCCGTTTATATATAAAAACTGTCTTGTCTTTGGTGCAAAAAAATTAATTTCTTTATTTTGTTTTTATTCCGGCCATCGGACCCGTAAAGTTGCTGTAACAGTGTCGTCGTATACCTATACCCGTGATCTACCACTATATTACACCTACACCTCGCGGAAAATGACGAGAGACTTGTTAATCCGTGAGTGAGAAAAAGTTTCACCATAAATAATCATTAAAAGAGCATTTATATCTTATATAATATAAAAGGTAATAAGAGATTAAACATTTTACAATTGATATCACGCGCCACGCGCCGTATTATTATTATTATTATTATTATTACTATATAGATATAGAACCTATATCGATATGATATACTGTATGTGAAATCTTGGATTTGTTATGAGAATGACTAAAGAGTTTACCTTAAATAACACGATAAAGACATTGTACTGTGCCCTAGTGGGGCCTATTTTAGAGTACGGCTTAATAATTTAGGCCCCACTGCAAATGATTATATGCAACTCGAAAGAGAGTAACGCAAATTCTTGAGATATAATAGTTTTATTTTAGGTATTACAATGTTCTTCTTACGACTACACTACTATCTCAAAGGTTTTTGACATAGAATCTTTAGTTGATGGATTTTAGATAAGAATTTTTAAGGTGATTTGTTATCTAATAGAATAACCCAATCCTCCTCTCTATCACTTATAAATTTCAATGTCCCGTAATATTATACCCATACACCTATGTCTATTCATATTTACCAATTTAAAACCAATTACTTAAAAAACGAGCCATTTAGATGCTTAACGGCTATTGCTAATAAAGATTTGAATCTTTAGCCTTTCAGCCTTTCTTGTTAAATTAAATATTTTTATTTAAACTACTTATAATTTTGTATTTTATTTTTTATCAAGTGCAATATATGTAATTTTAAACTATTTTACTATAACATGGAGTGCAGGAATTTACACAAATTACTTATTTTCACGATATTTATATTTTAATTGAACATAACAGATAAAAAAAGACTGACATACTTCGCACACAAGTGCGGCTACTGTTATAAGTAGGATGTTGGGAAGGTTGGATACAGAAGGGAATTTAATGCATATCTGTAAGCAACGATAAATCATTGCTAACGAAAAAACGATTCTGAGCGAAGTTCAGTTATTAGTGATGCTTTGTCAATAAAATATATGTCATATTATGATAAAATAGTCATTTTATATTTTCTATAATAATATTTGTTTCATATTGTACTGATTTTCCCGTTCTTTCTGCAATTTTACATAGTTTTCTCATGTTTTTCCCGGTTTTTCACATTTGCTGAGAAAACTCTTCGGAAATCTACCGAATAAAACTTACGTACAAAAACTTTCAAAATTAAAATGTCTATAAATAGCTCAAAAATGGCTTAAATTTTTTGAACATTTTACCACATCTAGAAAAGGTAAATATGAGTTTTCTGTTCAAATTTCAAGTCATAAAGTTGACACAAATATTTTAAACTAAATTTTAACACAAAACAAAATTGAAAAATAATAAAAGTATTATTTTCATACATTTCCCGTTTTTCTTATGTTTTATTCTGGTTTTTCTCTGATATGAAAACCACTAGAAAAATCAAAAAATGACCTCCTAAAAGTACCATCTGGACAACATTCCCTTTCAGAAATGGTGCCCCACGTATATATCTGAGCAAGATTTCTGGTAGAATTTTTAAACACAGAATGAAAAAAAATATTAAAAATAAACATCTTAGTAAAAACAATATACAGTCGAATCCGCTTAATAGAGACACCGGTTAATAAAGACAACCGCTTAATAGGGATAATTCTTCAATTACGAAAACAAATGTATACTTGTAGGGTAAACGTTCATCGCTTATCTGGGCCACGAATTCGGATAATTGGGACATTTTTATCGAGTATATTAATAGATCAGTAGTTCGAAAATCGCGACCGACTCGCGTTATTAGATTAATTTTTATCTTATCGTATGTTCACAAAGGAAATTTTTCCTCTTCGTTGAATTCGTTGAATGTTATTTGGTGCATCAATCGTGTTTGTCGCGTGTATTAACGATGTCTCGTGTGCGTAAAGATTTATCGCTCGCGCAAAAATTAGAAATTATCGACAAGATTAAATTACAGCCACCAAGTACTCGTAGTACTCGTGTAGCTACTGTAGTACTCGTTGTCTTTCGGAAATTTTAGGAATACCGAAATCAACAATCGCACGAATTCAACTTCAAGAACAGGTTTTGCGAAAACAAGCTCTTAGCCAAGTGACAACACGGAAAAGGAAACGAGAGGGTAAACATTCAGATGTAGATGAGGCACTGACTCAGTGGTTTACACTGGCTACTAGCCGGGGCGTTCAAGTGTCAGGTCCAATATTAAAAGCTAAATCCGAAGACCTTGCTAGAAAACTTGGTAACGACGAATTCAAAGCCACCGAAGGTTGGTTATCTAGGTGGAAAGTAAGACACGACATAAAATTTAAAAGAGCACATGGCGAAAAAGCTAGTGCAAATTCTGATGGGGCCGATGAATGGAAACTTACAAAACTTCCACAGATTCTTGCAAAATTTTCTCTCGAAGATATTTATAATGCAGATGAAACCGAATTACACTATCGTGCAACACCAGATGGTTCTCTTTATTTTAAACACGAATTGATAGCTGGATCAAAAAAAGCTATGGAGAGAATAACAGTACTGTGTTGTGTGAACGTAAGTGGGACTGACAAAAAAAGGCTTTAGTGATCGGAAAAAGTAAAAAACCACGTTGTTTTCAACAAATTTCTTTACAAAAATTACCAGTTGAGTATCACTCAAATAAAAATCTTAGACAACTGTACTGCCCATCCTAATGTATCTTTCAAAACATCAAACTTGAATTTTTACCTCCTAATTCAACGTCACTAATTCAGCCTTTAGATATGGGTGTTATCCAAAATTTAAAGGTTAAGTATAGAGCAACATTGGTCAATTACATTTTAGAAAAAATTGAAGATAATTTACTTGAACCACAATCAACGGCAATAGATATCAGTAAAAAAATTAATATCCTGCAAGCAATTCAATTCATTTCAGACAGCTGGCGTGATGTAAGCAGTCAGACGATAAAAATTGTTTTCGCAAGTGTGGTTATCATACCATCGATCAACAATTAGAACCAAATTCCGAAGAATATGATATTGTAAGAGTACTGAACAACGTAGAATTTGAACATCTGGATTCAAATGTGCAATGCTATGACCAAAACGAAAATGTTGATGATGCAATTATACAATCCATACAAGATAAACATGATTCGGATGAAGATACAGACGAGGAACCAGATCCACCAATTCGACTACAAGAGGCAAAGAAATGTTTGGAAACAAGGAGACTATTTTTTCTTCAACAAGAAAATGAGGGAAGCCCCATAAATGCTTTGGATGCTTGTTCGGACTACATTCGTCAACAATCAATAATACGCAAGAAACAAAGTAATATTCATAGTTTTTTTAAATAACATAAAATACAATGTACATTATATATGTGTATATATGTACTTTATATTAATTATGTATATATGTATTTTTATAAATAACTAAGTTATAATACTGTGTTTTTCTTTTTGTAATGTAATAAAAAATTTAAATAAAGTCAATAGTAAAACAATTTCAAAAAATGTATTTGTCATTTTTGTATTTCGGATTATTGGGACAACCGCTTTATTGGGACAAAATAAAATGCAACCGATGTGTCCCAATAAAGCGGATTCGACTGTATTTAAAATATTATACATTTTTGTAAAATTATAAGCTTCTTCGCTCCACTGAGAATCAAAAAAAGGAAAAATTCTTATATATACCTTAAAAATCACCTAACCTAACCTGGCGATACGGCGCCCAGTCCGTTATTAATGCACCACTACTCTCCTCTAACCTGAAATTAAAAGTGGAATATCTCGAAACGCCTTGACAGAAATATAAATGTCAACACTCAAATTTATTTTAACTAATACTCCATCTATTTATGAAACTTTTAATATAGGTTGCGATTTGAAAATCAAAATTAGGTAATGGTTTTACCCTCAAAAATAAGGGATACAAAAATTAACATAAATATAAAATTGTAAAACTGGTTATTTCTTAAATGCTCTAGGAAACAAATTCCGAAAAAATTTAATACTCTCCGAGATAATAAGTGTACCCACTTGAATGAATCACTCGGTATAATCAAATTCTGACTTTTATAATTTTTAAGTGTAGTTAAAGCTAAAAAAGCTTAAAAATAAATCGAATACTTAAATTGTTCACAACATTTAAGGATTATCCTGTAGCGATATCAACAGTGATTTTTCAAATGAAAATCTATATTAAAAATTTCATAAAAAAACGGAGTATTAATTTAAACAAATTTTTGTGTCAACATTTTTGATTTCCATCAACCCGTTGACGAGATATTCCACTTTTGAATTTAGATAGTAGGAGATTAGTGGAGTATCCTTTGTGTGGTTGCAAGGCATGCGGCGTTTTATTATTGCTCCACTACTCTTCCCCTACCTAAACTTAAAAGTGGGATATCTCGTCAACCGGTTGAACGGAAATCAAAATTGTTGACACCTTAATTTGTTTAAATTAATAGGTATTCCGTCTATTAAAGCCATTTTTAACATAGGTTCTCATTTGAAAAACCAAAGTTAGTATCTTCACAGGATAGTCCTTAAATGTTGTGAAAAATTTAACTATTCGAAAATATTGGCTTTAACTACACTTAAGAATTAAAAAAATTAAAAAAAATTCTACGCTTAGTGAATCACCCTGTATAATGTGTATATATCTTAAATATATACATATATATATATATATATATATATATATGTATATATATAAGTTTTAAAATCAAATTTTGAATAAAATGGTAATTATTACAGCCTTTCAAAACATGTATAATCGAGCTTCGCACTGGATAGTTTTTCATTAGCAATGATTTATCATTGGTTAAATATATAAATAAAATAACTTTATGTATCTCAACCTCCCCATTACCCACTTACAACAGTAACCGCGCCCGTCCCTAATATCAGCTCTTCTTTTTATTATCTATAAACAACTTGTTGTGTGCAAAAAAAAAATAGATTTTTTTACATTCACAAAATTATAATATTCAACACATATCTAATATTACAGATTGTTCCTTTATAGATGAGCAACGCGGTATTTTAACCGCTTAATGTGGTACACACATAATAACGGTCCTTACAAGTATAGTGATTTAATCGGTAATAATACACGAATACAAAAACATACATGTATAATCTATCTGTTCACTAATCAACCATATTATAATGATATAACTAATATTATCACAATGCACCGTGTTAAAATATTATTTTGTATTATGTTATATTATTTTCGTAATTATTCTGAACTGATATTAGAAATATTACATTTAAACTTATACCCCTGTCGCCCTATTGTCCATTGAACTTTGAAGTAGATATATAGTAGTATTATTATAATATCGATTATCTAAACAATTTTTTTTGGGAGGGGGGGACTCGTCGTTTTTTTCAATTTACTATATCTACCAACCAAGACTTTGGCTTTTTAACTATTCCATTACTCTTTTTTATTACATTCATTAATTAATTTTCAAATATATCATATTAAAACAGACTTATAATCTACCGACAAAGCCTCACATATTTCCATTTTTTAATGGATAATAATTAAATAAAGTAAAAATGAAATAATCATAATATAATATTTGATTTTTTAGTATTATAATATAATTTAGTGCTTGCTCATTCTTTTTATGTTGTATTATATGGCAAAATAAATTTAATTTGCCCACAGCATATAATCCAACCACCAACCATCGCTACTATTACACTGGAAATTAAGAAACTTAAAACTATATTCAGAAATTGTACTTATGGTGTATTTATGCATTATAACGCTGCGATGTCAATAAAGTTATATGAATTTAAAGAATGAATAAAATCCTCTGAAATAATGATTTTGACTAAATTCTTATAGCATCAAAGAGGTTGGGTATAAGACACAAAACAAAGTCCAATAGTATCATGGAATTTTTACTAGTTGATGGCTGTGCTTTTCCTTTTGACCCTTTTGATCCGTAACAATTTTAATATTATTCTTTGTAAGCCACCAGTAAAATGTAAAAATAAAAAAAAGACGGACATACTTTGCACGTGGGTGCAGCCACTGTTGTGTGTGGGAAGTTGGGAAGGTAGGATACAGACGGGAATTTAATGTATATCTGTAACCATTGCTAACAAAAAACGATTCTGAGCCTAGTTCAGTTGATAATGTTGCTTTGTTATTAATACAATATATGGTATCATATCATATTATGGTAAAATGATTGAAAAAATGTGCGTTTCCATGACAACAATTATTGTTTAAAAAATATTAAAATAATAAAACTTAATAATAACAAAAAATAAACAAAAAAGGTTGACAATGACAACCTTATTTTTAATCTTTCAATCTTTTTTAACCTAAAGACCAAGGTTTTCTTCATTATATCGAATATTAATGAGAATTTCAAAAAATGATCCCATTAAAGTACCACCCAGAGAAAATTTCCTTTCAGAAAAGGTTCTATACTTGATAATCGGAATATACTTTCTAGTAGCAAAAGTGTTTACATAAAAAAAAAATGAATAAATAAATCAACATCATTTTAAAATCAATACATTCCTCGTTACACTCAGAATCAAAAAATACAATACATTGTATTCAATAACTATATTAAAGTTTCAAAACATATTATGCTACATTTACATTAGTTTGTTAAATACCTTTCCAGTAACTGCCAGTAAAATCAAAGTATACACCGTCTTAAACTAGATAATAAAACTTTAATATGTTAATTTTTGGATTCAAGTCTCTTCATCATTAACTGCTTGGGTAATTTAATTTTCTTTTAATTTTTTTCCTAAACATATTAACAATAAAACATTTTATTTAATATCACATTAATATAAAACATTTAAATCAAATACAGATATCGCAAAGTAAACTGCAAAAAACCTAACCTATCCATATCATATTAACATATAATTTATATAATATGTACAAATATTAATTGAATTAATATTGTTGAAAATGTACTACCTCTCTATAGAGTTGACTTGGAATTTTTACTAGAAAAGCTTTAAAAAGCTCGTGTATTTTGTAAATTAAAAAATAAGCGGTAAAGTAATAAATTAGCAACTTGCAGTAAAACAGTCACTTGAAAGTCACTGTTTTATATTGAAATACATGCATGTATTTCTGTCAAGTAAATCTTTTGATGTATATCTATTGAAGCAATATTATTTTTGGTAGAAAGCGTAAAATTTTAAAATAATGAAATCGTTATCATGCCGTAATTTAAAAAAAAATCTTATATTAATATTCTTATTTTACACATTATTATAATACTGATTTGTATATATATATATATATTGAGAAAAATATATTTCGAGAAATGGGGTAAAATCTCCTCTTTTATTATACGTAATAGATTTTTAATTTTTCCATAGCCTGCCTCCTTCCCAAGAATTTACCACAGATTAGGCCTATGATATGATAGGTAAAGCCGTAATTAGTAACCTTTTTATTGAATGACCGCAACTAGTACGTATTTTTCGTTTACGATCACAACTATAGTAAACACTAAATACCATTTGTATTGGAAGAGAATAATATTAAATTCCTTACATTTACAGCTAATTAACTTTTAATTGTTAACCCTTTTCCACATATTGTACCAACAATGGCACAAATTAATTTTTATAAATTATTTTACTGACAAATTATTCGATTCCAATACTTCTTGTATGGCTGAATTCGGTAAGAAAAACTAAATAATTTTGATTAAAGGTATTTTTATCTAACGGTAAAATTGCGTACTATAATTTATAAAATAAATGAAAACAAATAAATGTGATACACAAATTAATAAATAATTAAATAAATATAATATGGTGTAATTAAAAATATCCCCTATATAATATGATCGCATATAATCACCTACCTCCTCCCAATGACAAAATTATAATATAATAATAATATTACTATATGTCTGTATTTTTATTTTTCAATACGAATATTATCCGTTTCATTTTCTAATATTATTATTGTAATACTAATATATTACAATGTAAAAAATGTGCACACTCAGATGGTTTGCCACTTTCGTCGTCACATAACAGACTTTATTGGAAATTTGATTAATTTGAGATTTCAATGATACAAGCTAGATATAACGACAACAAATATACGCGAATATGCGTGCGTACATGAGTTCGCCTATGTATGTTTGTCTCTGTTTATTCTATTTGGCAAACGCGCGTGCACATAAAGGATAGGGATTTTTTTCTCCCGCTCGGTTTCCAATAGGAACACAGAATACCGAAGAAAGAAATCGAAACGATAGATCTAACGATATAAAGGCGTCCTTTAACCTTATACGTTTTCTTTTGGTTTTTTCATCTTATTTTTATCTTCCCGGACCCGAACCATCTTATCTGATTCTTACGACGACGAAGAATATATTTTTTTTTTTTTGAGAAATTCCCATTGACGTTATTTACTTCAGTATTTCAACAATGTTAATAGATTTTGAATACTTAATGTATTTAAAAAAAAAAGATACGGACATACTTCGTACGATGGATGAGCCACTGTTGCAGGTGAGAAGTTAGGAAGGTAGAAGGGAAATTTAATATATATCTGTACGCAACGAATAACCGCTAATAAAAAACGATTCTGAGTGTAATACGAGTGATAGAGTTGCTATTTAATATTTAAAATTAGGTAGTCATGTTTACAAATTCTATCAAAATTTGATACTAAAATTCATATACCTAAAACAAAATAAAAATACTACATTAAACTTAATTATTTTGTTTTACCATAAAATATGATTTAAAATGAACCTCCTGTTAAATTTTCTAGCATTTCTGTTTGGTCTACTCATTTTTTCCACAGAGTAACTACCAAACAAGGTTTAGTTAAGATAGGTTGTCAAAATTTATCTTTGTATTAATTCAGAATTTTTGTTGATCTTTGGTTTTTGGGTCAAAGAAAAACATTGCCTCAATGAGGGCCCTTCATTTATAATCTTTGATGAATTTTCACGGCTTTTAGAAAAAAATATAAAATTTAAATATCACGAAAATGTGTAACCATTTCTTTGTATGGAGTACATATTATAAAAATCTAAAATATTTACATTTAAAAGAAAACTTTCACATGAAGTACGATTTAAACATTTTGTTTTGTGTTGACAATCCGCACACCCCGGCCCCCATAACTCATGCTATGGAAGGGTGCTACATTTTTACTAGCCCCGGGCATCAAATTTCCTAAATCCGGTACTGATGATAACACTACTAACCTTACACGGGATAATATCACAGATTATACAAGTTAGGACGGTTAATGATCCAGAAACGGATGTGGGTAACCACCCGTGGGGTGGTTTGGTACGGCGGGCACTTATGTTTGCGCGTAACGTCCGTTTGGGACAAGCGGGGGCAACCCCGAAATTTCAGATTATATAAATTTTATATGATCTATAATAGTATTATCAATTATTATAGATAAAAGTCCAGATGATGAGAATCGAGAAAATGTAATATGTAATATGAAACTAAATATTGAGAAAAAAAGGTTTATATTATGCACCGCAATTTATAATATAAGTTAGATCAAATTTCGAAGGTCTTTTCTGTGATCATATACGTACATTTAAAACCATGGTTATGGTTTCTATAAATCGTGGTTATACCAGAGTCCTATTTTAGCTTATCTATGATACACGTTATCTGCTATTTTAGTAATTTTAGATTCGGAGAGTAGCGAGAAATCTATTGATTTTTTTTTTGGCATGTACTGCATATTTCTGTATTTTATGATCTTCAATTCTGAGCGGAGTGAATATGTATTGATTTTAAAATGAAGTTTATTTTTTTTTAACCATGATCAACTTTTCTACTAAAAATCTTGCTCTGATTTTTAAGTGTAGTATGTTTTCTGAAAATAAATTTTATCCGGGTGATACTTTAAAGAGGTAATTTTTTTTAAATTATCTATACGGTTTTGATAACAATTGAGTAAAACCAAGAAAAACCTAAGGAAAAATGATAAAATGTATGCAATGCATTATTTTAAATTTTCTTTTTTGTTGTGATTCAGTAAAAATATTCCTAGAGACTTGAAAATCGAACAGTAAACTTATGTTTTTTTGCTTTTCTAGAAATAGTAAAATATTCAAAAATTTTTTAGCTATTTTTGAACTATTTGTAGACATTTTTATTTAATGAGTTTTTACGTAATTTTTACTGAGTAGGTACTCTGTGGTTAAAATTGTTAGACCAAACAGAAATGCTTGACAATTCAACAAAATGATCATTATAAGTTGTAACTTCGTCAAAAAAAAAAAAAAATTAAGTGTAATTTGAATTTTTTTTTATTATAATTTGATTATCAAATATTACTTTAAAAACATAACCGAACTGAACTCAGAATCGTTTTTCGTTAGCAAAGATTAATCGTTGCGTACAGATATATTAGTAGCTCTAAAATGCTACATTACATACTACATGCTACATTTTTTTTTGTTAATCTTATTTTCAAAAGTGAACCGATCACCTACTTATAGTTTTTAAATGGTAACTTACATGAAATATCAAAAATTCCAAATACATAATATTATATTGCCAAGGGAGAGTGTAGTGGGGCACTATTTAAATGTAGTGCACTGCGCCGTCTCACAAATGAATTGCTCCACTACTCGCCCTCTGTAACATTTTAAAGCTACTTGTTTCTTAGATTTACAAAAAAAAAAACTGTCCTAGGATAATGGAAACGGGTGCAGCCACTTTTATTGGTGAAAAGTTGGGAAGGTTGATAGAGGGGAAATTAATTTGTATCTGTAAGCAACAAAAAACTATTGCTTATTAAAAACGATTCTGATCGGAAATCAGTTGATAGTGATGCTTTGTCAACAATATACGTCGTATTATGGTAAAATAATTAAATAAGCATTACACATTTTCTTCAATTATATTTGTTTAATATAGTACTGATTTTCCCGTTTTTACTACGTTTTTCCCGGTTTACCCATGTTTTTTCCGGGTTTTCCGCATTTAATAAGAAAACTTTTGAGAAAATCGAAAAATAACCTCTCTAAAAGTTATTACGCGTAAAAATCGGATCAAGTCTTTTAGGAGAAAAGTTGTCCACAGAAAAAAAAAATTTAAAAAAAACATCTTTGTAAAAGATCGCTATACTCAGAATCTAAAATTCCTATATTAATAATTTCCAATAAATTGCAATGATCATAATATCTTTGTAACAACAACCTTCCTCTTATTTTGTATGCCAAATGTAGAAAGTTTTATCTAGATTGTAATAAATATGTTTGTATAAAAATACAACATAAATCGAATTTGATTTTATATAAATAATATACATAGTGTCCCACGAAGATATACCTGTTGTAATACCTCCGGAAATAATAAAGATAATCCAATTCTGTTTTTTGTATTACTTCCAGGGATAAGGCCTACAGATATTCAAATATTTTTATGTTTTGATAAAAAACTTGAAAAATAACTTTTATTCTATTATTTTTGAAAACTTGAAGATAGTCATTTTATAGAGTTTATTCTTTTTGAAATGTTGACGTTTCAACAATTTTGAAAGTTCAAAAAATAAGTGTACAGTCAATTAACTATAATAAGATTAATCAAATAGCGAATGCATTGTCCGGCATTATTTATAGGTAATGGGAATAATAATAAATACAATATAATTATTAATATTATTGCTTATATTTATTGTACATTTTTTTTGGCTTAACTCAAAAAAAAATTATTACAATTCACGAATTTAATTAAAATATGAACATATTTGTATTTTATTATCTTTATTATCCGATTATTATTATTATGATTATATTATAGTGGGTATATTTTCGTGGGACATCTTGTATAAGCACGAAGATTTAATCAACGAAATGAGGTAAATTATTCAAACTTGTAATTATTTCTAACGACATTTTTGCCGCGATAAATAAATTTGGATGAGTTTGCGTCTACAAGTAAGTAGGTATGTAAGTCTTAGGCACTTGTGTTCATCATCACGACCAAATTCAAGTTAGACTTACCATGGCGTACATTTATATATTTACCTGTAGAATATTAATTGTTACGTCTAAACTCTATGAGGCAATAATAGATAACGTATATTTATCGTTTTAATATTATATATTAAACACAAGTGTGTAATATTAATACCTGCTGCAGTGCTCGCCGCTCGGTACGGTCATTAAGTAGTACCTATACCTACCATGATAGTTTCTCCTAACAACGATTTGTACGCGTCCCCGGCAAGGCTTTTATCCGTTCAAAATTATTTTTCTCTAATTAATCGCTGTAAGAAATGTTACGGTGTGTGATGTTGGCCGTGCAAAAATTGCACGAGTAGTCCCACAAGAATTCGATCGTATAGTTATATTATATAACTATACTATATTATACGAGTTGACAAATGCGCGCCAACGACCTGCAATGTTGGTCCTTTATATTATTTTATTTTTATACTAGGTATATGCATTATATAAAATAAATAAAAGTACCTATAGTGGTATTTTTTTTTATATTTCAGTATTTCGGAATTTATACGCATAAATTACAGAAGCTTCCTAAAATACTGCGGTGGGTTTAAGCTGGCGGTGACAATATTAATGGCTGTTGCTAATAAGCTTAAAATCCGCGCCGTGCCGGTTTCGATATCAAACAAAACAGATCCAAGAGCGTTTTGTAGCACTATTATCTTATTTCTGCTGGTTTTTTTCTTTTCGTTTCATTGAAAAATTTATGTGTAGGTTATATATAATAAACCTATATAACCTATATAATAAACATTATCAAATTAAATATATGACGGGCGGTTAGGGCGGGGGAAGGACATTCGAAAAAGTTATCTTTTAACGGCTCTCGCACAAGAGTTTTATTTCCATACCACTCACTACCATATCAGTTATATGTATTACCTATAATAGATACCTGCATACGGATATAATAATAATTAAAATATAAGTCCTTAATATCAAAATCTGATATTAAGTTCCACAAATATGTTCTACATATCATTTACTGTGAGTTGACGTATATTGTTTAAACGATTACTCCAAGATCATTAACTTTGGTAGAACTAAATCAATTTTGGCTAAAAAAAAACTCGTAGTCATTGAAAATAAAATTATTTTTTTTAAAAAAAGTGATGCATTGACATTTATTAATATTAAGGGACATATCATTTGAGATGCATCAATTTTGAATGCTAGTTAAATCTTGTTGAAGTAGTTCAGCATCTATTATATTCCTTGTACACTTGAAAATGTTAGCATCATATTCTAATAGAAGAATATTAGAATGTTTAATTGAAAAAATAATATCGCTAATGGATAAATTGAATAATAACGGGGAGAGGTGGTCTTCGTGTGGGACACCGGATATAACTGAAATTGGATCGGAATTAAAATTTTTATATTTTAAAAATTGGAATCTTTTGATTATGATAATGAAGGGTCGACAAAACCTATTTTCCTAAGCTTTTGTATTAAACGGTTATGATCAATTCTATCAAAAGCTTTTTCAAAGTCTGTATAAATGACTTCTGTCTGTTGATTATTAGAAAAAGAGTTAAAAATGAATTGTTTAACAGATATTAGGTTTGTAATTGCAGATTTATTATTTCGGATATCGTGTTGCTGCAAAATGAGTATATTTTTGAAGAGGGGAGTGAGTTTAGCATTAATAATTTTAGAGAATAATTTCGGGAGGATAGAGATCAAGGATATAAGGTGATAAGAAATATATTATTTATCTCCTTTTTTGAAAATTGGATTGATGAATGTAGATTTCCAAATAGATGAGAAACAACTATCATTTAAAGAGGCATTAAAAAGAAATGTGATAGAAGGGGAAAATACAAATCTACAAACATGCAGAAAAATAGGTGAGAGTCAAGACCAATTCCAGTTTTCATTTTTAAGTTTTCTAATTCTTCAAAAACATCAATGAATTTAATTTCACAATTATTAATAGAGTCTAGGGATTCAATTATTGGAGAATTATTTGAAGTAAAGGGAATATTATCTTTTTATAAGTAGATACAAAATAATGGCCAAAAAGGTTGACGATGTTTTGGCCGTCATTGGTCGTTATATTTTCGAACGATAAGATATTGGGAAGAGAAGATGATGATCTAAAATATTCAATAAAAGACTAGAAATGCTTAGGATTGGATTTTAATTAGATTTAGATATAATTTAAATAACAGTTATGGTTGTCTTTACTGAGGCGTTTACATTTAGCACGAAGAGAAGAAAACTTTAAATAGTCTGATTGCGAATTATTAGCTTTATAAATGGCATGAAGTAATTTTTAAATTCTGAGCGTAGCGAAAGAGCTTTTGGTTTTACAATGCTGTTTATTTTTGTTTCTTTTTTTTAAATTTTTTTCTTTGTTCTATTCTATGGACACGTTTTTTCCTAGTAAACTTGCTCCGACATTTTACGTGTAGCAACTTTGCTCAAAGCTTCTCAAGTTGTCTAGATAATAATTTGAACATGTAATTTTTTATCTTTCGATGCTATTGTTAAAATAAAAACACTTAAGTAGGAAAAAACGTAGGAAAACGTACAATTTCACGATTTCATTATTTTATCAAAAACACGGACGACGTTTTCTACCAGAAAGAATGATTTAATTGAAAAATCACAATTTACCTTTTTTATTGCCTTTTTGATTTTCTTTCTAACGGTATCATCGCCATTTTAGCCACTTTTGAGCTTTTAAGGAATTTTAACTTTTGGTAGTTTTTTTTTGCTGTAATTCGGTCATAAATACACGTAGAGACTTGAAACTTGGTAATAATACTTATATTGGACTAATCTAGACGTGGTAAAATTTCAAAAATGATCGGATGACTTTTTTTTTAATAAGCGTTTGAAATCAAATTTAAACCACCTACAACAGTAGCTGCTCCCATACCCAGTATCAGCTCTTTTTTTTGTTTTATCAGTGCTTTTGAAACCATGGTAGAAATTTTGATTATGAATATAAAATTTTTATTGGGAAGGAGTAAATAGAGAAGTATATAATGGAATGAAAATCATTTAAAAGAACGGACATATCCGAACTCATTTCTAAGATATTATTCCATTTAATAGAACCTAAAAATGATAATATAGAATTATAGTCACCTTTTAACCAATCATAGGTTGTTTCATAAAATGGAAAAAAAGGGGTTGTAATTTGGAGCAGTGATATTTATATTTAGTATAGGGTAATAATTGTCAATAGGAATAATAGCATCATTATTACGAGTAGGAGAATTTGATAATACAAAATCAAGTTATTATTATTTAGGATGGTGTTATATTGAAAAATGTTTAGTAAAGCCGATTTTGCTATGGAAATTCGGAGGAAGAAAGTTTTAAATGATGTTTAATAAGGTCTTATTTAAATTGTGAAGAAATAAAGTGATTAGTAAAATCAAGTTTTGAGGAAATAACATCGTTTCGTAACCATGTTTCGGAAAAGGCAAAAACTGAAAAATTAGAAAGGAGGATTTTTCTTTTTAAATTATTAAGTTTAGTGTTTTGACCCCTTACATTTTGGTAATTACATTCAAAATTAAAAGAGCCGGGTTTTATAAATTTTTTGGATTTATAATACGGGAGTATTTTCTAACGTACTTAATTATAATATCTTGTTCGCCGTTGGGCGAACCAGATATTATTTATAAGTTGAGTCATGGATTCTCGTTAAGATTTTGTCTGGTTCGATGAAAATTTTACATCTTTCCATGTTTTATGTGATTTCAATTTATATTGAGAAGAAAAGATTAAGAGTGTTTCTTTTTGGTTGGCTAAATATAATTTGATTAGTCTTGGTTTATTAGAGAGTTCTAATGGTAGAGAGCCAAGGCTAGTAAAAGTAATAAGTACTGATTGCAGTCCGAGGAAATTTAAAATAACTCTTATAGAAAAACTATCATTTAAGGAATCTTTATTTAATTCAGGTAAATTATATAATAAGAAATTGTTTCATCTGTTTTGTCTATCCATCAATTCGGCAATCAATTTGTTATTACTTATAGTAGTTTTGAAGGGAGGTTCTTCTCCATTAAAAGTTGCAATTTTATTTTCAATAATTGAAACTTTTATTTTTACAGTCAATATCTAATGATAGTATATTCAGTTGAGAGGAAAACTCGGTAATTTTTTTTTAATAGAGAATTTAAAGTCCCAACACGTTTGTTTTGTGTTGATTTTATTTCATTAACTGATTTAACTGTATGGATGTATGATAAAAATGTAGTGCACAAAGTGGCTTCTTAATTAAAAAGAATAATACGGAAGTTCGAGATTATGGAAAAATAATCGACGTTTTGCTACGATTTTAATGGCATTTTTAGCACACAGTGTATATCGTCGAAATGGATGGTTTAGCGAACGCGGTGTATATATACGTGCTGCACCAGTCATATCTCTCGCCGTTTAGATGATTAGCGATAAAACTTGGCCATTTAACCTTTGGACGTTGACAATATTTAAAATAAACTTACTTTATTGCGGCTGTGTATTTGAATAACGAACTAAAAACTGACCTTGTAGGGAGAATTTGGGGCAGACCAACTCCAAAACTGATCCAAATTGATCTGCACACGCACTTTTTATGATTTTTTGGAATATAAAACACAAAAAACTATCAATCATAACTGGAGTGAACGAATAGAAACTCGGGGGCAGCACAAGACATTCTTCACGTTGAATGAATTGTTTACCTCGGAATGTATTAACTTTTTTCCGGAATTTGTTTTCTAGAACATTTAAGAAACAAGCAGCTCTTCAATTTTATATTTATGTTAATTTTTGTCACCTTTATTTTTGGAGGTAAAACCACCTACTTTTGATTTTCAAATGGCAACCTATGTTAAAAAGTCCACACATAGATGGAGTATTAGTTAAAATAAATTTTACATACCTTCTATAAAAAAAGGTATTTTGTTATTGACGATGTTGGTCAATAGTAGAGTGTGTTGATCAAGGAACTCTAGTCCATAGAATATTAGACCAAATTTATATGTTACCCTTTGCTAACATAATATTGATGAACTATATAGATAGTATATTATGTACCTAACCATATTATAATTACATATATATATATTTAAATATATTTATACATATACTGCGTAAGTATGCTTTTATTAAATTTATTATGAATTATTTGAACCACCTAGACCAGTGGTTTTCAACCTTTATTAATTCATGTCACCCTTATCGACAATAATTCAACACTGAGTCGCCCTACCAATGCATAATCTATTGAAATTATAGGATATTCAAGGAGCAGTATCGTTGAAAAGTGAGTGATGGGGAGGGAATATTACGTTGTTCAGATGGTGTTAGTGGTTACATGACAGTGACGGCAATAATACGATTATATTTCCCTGATGATTTCATGTCACCACTACACTGGATCTATGACCAACAGAAAGTTGGTTAATGGTAATATATACTGCCTGGATTTATCACCTTCCTTAAGTTTTAACATCCTTCATTATAATTCGCGATATTGTCTTACTTTTGCAATTCCATTTCACCATATCACTTATGGCTATAATAATCCCTTAGACCGAATTGCCAAATGTAATGATTTAAAAACCTTAGATTTATTTTATACATAATTTTCAGATGTTATGCCAAGTTTCATTAGTATAATACGTAATTTGTTCAACCGACTTCCAATCTGTTATTATTATAATAGGTACTTTTTATATTTTTATCCAAGTGCATTAATTTATGTGTTATTTCTTCTTTATTATCATTTTTATGTTTAGTTAAGTTTCACTATTGTAATTATTTATGTTCTGTACTTGAGTCTTTCAGGTGTTTATAATAATAAATAATAAGTGTTACCAATATATTTTATAAATGGAGGAAGTTTATACTACAGGTGATTTTTGTTATCATGAACCAGCAATTATCTCAGAGCTTTTAAGTGAATTTGATTTCTGTTTTTTTTTAATCATTATGGAATTACTAAGCTTTATTCTTAAACCATTTAGACCTTTCCTATTCCTCCGGCCTAAACTTTAAACTGTTATAACTCATAGGTGGTAAATATTATATTAGTATTATGCATATTCAAATGTCCAAAAAAATATTCAAATCTGTATTCAAAAGGGTTCCTGTTAGAAAATGAAAAGTATGTACTTATTTATAGTATAACCTAACCTAACCCTAGTAGGGGTAAAAAATTAAAAATGATTTAAAAATAAAGCTTAAACAATTCTATAATGATAAGAAAAACAGAAATCAAATTCACTTAAAAAAACTCAGAGATAATTGCTAGTTTTATTAATAAAAATGGTCACAAAAAAGTTAATGAAATCATGGGTTATCAATATAGAATGAAAACATAAATAAATAAAAAAATGTTTAACATTTTAAACATTTACACCTATATCTGTACGTACAATCAAGTTACATGCATTTTCCATGCATTTTTTGCTCAGCACAGAATCTAAAATACTAAAAGTTCTGATTGATTGTTAATGAACAATTCTGTAGATGATGATTCAGAATATTTAAATGTAATAGACTTATTTTACAAAGATGTTTTTTTATCTGTTAACAACTTTTCTACTAGAAGACTTGCTTGGATTTCTAAGTGTAGCACTTTTTCTGGAAGGAAATTAGCATGGAGAGGTATTTTAAAGAAGTAATTTTTCATATTTATCAGGAGTTTTCTCATCGATTTTAAAAACCGAAAAAAAAAGGGGAAATGTAGGAAATATATTTGTATATTAGATTTTTTTTTTCTGTGGACAACTTTTCTACCAGAAATTTTACTCAAACTTATAATGATAGAAATATTTCTAAAAAGAAATTTCACTAGGGAGGTACTTTAGAGAGGCCATTTATCAATATTCTCAAGAGTTTTTCCAACAAATGTGAAACACCAGGAAAATACATGGTTAAACCAGGAAAATCGATCCCGTAAACAAATATTATTAGAGATAATATATAATGCCTATTAAATTTAATATGACATATATTTTTGAAAAAGCATCACTATCAACTGAACTCCGCTCAGAATAATTTTTCGATAGCAATGGTTAATTGTTGTTAACAGATATACATTAAATTACACATAACAGTGACTGCACCCTTCCCCATTATCCTAGGATGTCTTTTTGTAATTTATTTTCTGTTTAAACCGACAGCAAAAGGATATCTATGTTAACACTTAACATTACTATTCTACTGCTGCCATCGTTTATAGAAATGAGGCAATACAAACGATATATAACAATAGGGAAGAAAGAAACCTATAGATCATTGTAGAGCAAAGTACATTACAAAATCAGAGATGACAAGAGCAATGGAACAGAAACTTGAAAGAACACTGGACACACAAACTCATCACAAATATAATCAGATGGTACCAAAAATCTTAAATTCTAACAACTACCATATCACTCAAGCCCGCATAGTACACAAATGTTTCACTTCTTACTATGAGATATATGGTAATTTGAATTCAACAGAATGCTGGTACTGCAGACACCCGAACAACGATCATTACACAGTTTTTCAATACCGCCAAGTATGTCAGGATGGTGGTATTAACCAATGGAAACTTCATCCCTGGAAGTCATGGTCTCACAGATACAGGAATCCAAAGAATGGGTTGTAGTAATTTCCTACATAACATCATGGAGGAAAAGAAAGAGAAAGACAGAAAGACGAGAGAGCGCAACAAAATCTGGTTAAGACAAATATGGACCGAGTACCAATCAAATGAAGGCCAGAGCCCTGGCAATGTAAACAAACCATTGTGAGGCACCTATTGGGAAATTGTGCAAGTAGCTAGCCAAACACGTAATTTTGCCATATAAAAACAAAAAAAAGGTACAATAAATTATAAATTTTATTACAATAATAATAGTTAGGAAACTAGTTAAGTATACCTAATTATGTAATATAATTAATGCTCTTTTTTTCAAATTGTTTGCAAAAATAATTAAAGAAATAAATATTGATTATTTTTACTTAACATTTAATTTATATAATTATAAGTTAAAGATTAAGTATAAAGATTTATTTTGGAAATTAATTCACTAATCAGACTCACTTCCAAGTCCATCTGAATCATAAACTATTACTTTTCCTTTCTTCGGTGAATTACCAGCAGGCAATGTATAACATCTAGCAAACATATGTCCAGTAAGTCCAAGTATTGAATTACCATCATTATTAACACAAATTTGGTTTGCTGCATCATTGACATGAAAATCGGCAACCTGAGATAATAAAACATCATCATCTAAATATTCTTCTCTAAAGTGCTCAATAACTGAATTTGTATTATTAGAATTAATTTTTTTTTGCGATTGTTGACTAGAAGAATGTTTCCGTTTTCTAGAAATACTATCTGGATATTCTACTTGTACTCGCATTGGTGTTAGTAAATTGGAATGTATTAATGGTCTTCGGTTTAATATAAGTGATTGATTTTCTTGTTGTACACCAGTATCAGTGCTCTGAGTGTTTTCAATTGCATTAATATTTAATTGCAATGATTCAGTTTCTCCAGATAATCCATTATCCGACATTGTTGATAATATATATTGACTTTCATATATGAATCCATTTTTAAGTCCAAAAACCATAGGCCTAAATAAATAAGAATTGTTTTTTATTTTTACTTTACAACATTTGTAACTTATAATACCTACATTCCAGGAGAACTAAAGCGTATAATAACTGGTAACGACATATACTCTGCAAAGGCTAACAAAGGCCGTATTTCTTTAAGACAAAATGTTATACAGGTACCTCCACAAACATCGTAGATGTCAAACTCTGATGACTGCAAACTCAATTCTGTTCTCAACATTTTTCTTATATCTATATTATTCAAATTAAGTACATTTATCACATTATACACATCATTAATATGTAATTGAATTAATTATTAGTTGAAGCTAACATCCAATTCAAGCACCTCGACAAGATTCTGAATGGGTTTTGAATAATACTTTTTCAGTAGTTACATCCAAACTTATATCTGTTTCACTATTTTGAAAATGTTTTACAGCAGCTGATAATACTTTGGAATCGATACACAGTATACGACTGGTTTCAACATTTTGATTTACCTAATTAAAACCACATAAAATATCAATATAAAATACATTGCACATGCATATTTAGGTAAGTGCATTTAATATAAACTTACTTGTAATGCCGAGTATTCTAACACTGGAATCAAATAAGTTTTAACACAAAAATTTGAGTATCGTAATTGTATAGTAATTGTATCTGCATTACTTTTAATTTCCATATAACATGATTCTAAGCAACGGGCTAAATGTGGAGATTTGAATATTGTAATACATGACTAAAAAAAAATAAAATACATTTTTAATTCAACTTTCATAAATTTTAACCCGTCATTGGTATTAATGTTAATGTTTCGCCATCATTAAACTTATATTTATTCAAATAAAAATATCGCTGGTGACACTGCAAAAGGGCCTAAGCAACACAATTCGAAGTTTTCAGGAATCAAAAAAACATTTATTTGCGATTTTAATTTTTTTTTTGTTTAGGCAATATGAAAAATTTGTATTGTATCTAAGTTTTAAAGTTCAGTTCATCATATTGTGTGTATATATGTAAACAGAATACTCGTTCAACATATTATACCGCAAAAGAAAATTCAAAAAATGTGTATGATGAATAATCATTTTTAATGATCTTTTTTTATAATTTGTATTATTTTAACAGGATTTTTTATAAAACAGTAATTTTTTTCTAAAATATGTTTGTTTTTATTTTTAACATAGAAAATTTGAACGACAATGACTATTGAAAATCAAATTTTTGTAGAATATAACTAGATAAACATTTTTATCTTTGTTTCACTATTTTAAGTTCATTAAATAATTCACAAGAACAAAAAAAAACAACAATGTTAACGTAATGCTAATACAATACCAATTGTGTTATAAAACATGACGATATAGATGACGAGTTAAGATAATATTGTAATGGATCAATCAAAATAAACCTTTAATGAAATTTTGCATTTCAATGAACTGTCACTGTTTTGTTCGTCTTCTTTGGTATAAAAATAACTTGAAAAAAATGAAGAATCAAATTTGAACCATGCATATACAGTATGCCAACTATTTGTAGTGTGCATCAATAATTGTGATGAATTGGGCTCAATATATAAATCTTCTCCAATGCGGCAAATTGTATTCAATGCTCGCGAAAGAACTAAAAAAAAAATAAGTTTTAATTAGTTGTTAAGCTACGGGTCTATATTATGGAACTCTAGTGTCGCCAGACATTACTCTCAACTCAAAAAAGGAACTAAAGGGTAATGACTATTCCTTAGTTTTTTAGATACATCAATTATCCTCTCTATAATTACATTAATTGCCCTCTACTTAAACTTAATTAGCTATCTGAATGTAAAGCTAATAATTTCCTTCATCAACAAATTAATCACTGGCTCAATTTATGATACAACTATTCTATATAGAGTTAACTTTATTTGTTCAAATCACAGTATAGATTATTCCTTATATTGTACTTTTTAATAACACAGATTATCACAATAACAATCCAATTCATCACATAATGAAATTATGCAATAAGGTACCTTTCTGCCTCTAATCACCAATGTATCTACATAATATATAATATGTACCTACAATCAAGGACTATCTTTTACCATATCAAATTGCTACTTATATTTTAACTTTGGGTTTGTTTATAAACATGCATACAATTAAAATAAATACAAATTTACTTTTCAAATTTTGTTTAGGTATTACACACTTCATTGTAACAGCTATAGATGTTATGGTTTAGGGTCATAAACACTGTATTTCTACAACCATCACTTTACAAAAGCAAATATAGCTCTAAAAAAGTTTGACTTATATTTAGATCAATTGAACCTAAAAAATTAACACAACGTGTATTAATTATAGTAAATACAAAAGAAAAGCATAAATAACAAAGTAATAACAGTTTACCTAACAATAAAATATAATAATAGTTAACTAGTAGGTAATTATAAAAATAAATACTAGTTATTGTCCAGAGTTCAACAGTACCTCGTGATTTAGTATTCTAATGTAATGTTAACTCTTAAAAAATGTAATTCAAAAAATATACATATTTCACTATTGAATTTCTAAAATGATCTTCGTTTTTTCTCTAGGATAAATAATATATTTGTATAACAAATTACAACAATTAGGTGAAAATGTAAAACCTTATAAACACGGTGCATAATGCTTATCATGATTATAGATATAATGGTTATCATAGATCACGAACCTCAGATACTAGATAATCAGACCTAAGCACGGACTTTAGCCCTTGAACCACGGACGGTGATTTTCGGAAAAACAAATCCGATATTTCCAGCTGTAATATTTTCGTTTAAAATATTAGATTATATACATTGTATATGATTTAAGTAACCAGTATGCTCTTTATCACACTTGAGTACATGGTATGTTCCATCCATGTATACATTATGAATGGTAAAATTACGATTAATGATAATTGATAATTAAGATTATCAAAGATTTTAAGATTTTAATTTTACTTTGTAACCTAATCTACCCAACACTATCATAAAAAGCGCGAACTACATCTTAATTCATGGTCTGTGATAAAAAGTTTCATAAAAGAATCTTTTCGGGTCCTTATCATTTTTTGAACATATGCTTATCACTCCACAAAACCACAGATAATCCGCCACATATACAGAGATATTAAATCTTTAATCTTTAATAATATCTATGATTGTTTAAAATTCTAAGATCGTGGTTTTGACAAATAAATTATCTTCTTCTAATATTGTTATTTATTTGTGTCACGACCTCTATAATTTTTATTCTCAATCATTCCCGTATTATAAGCATAGATGGCCTATCCATGATTCTATCATGAACTCTAGAGAAGTGTTCTTTAGTGTTCATATTTAATATCTATGAATTCTATTATTCTATGATAAAAGCAGTTAAATAAAAAATCATTTTAAAATAAATTCAGTCTTTTATTTAAATATTACAATTTGGACGAGGAAAAAAAATCGCCATTAAATCTCACACTTGAAATTAAAAATCATTAACTTTTCCGCCACCCACCAAAAGTAAAATATCTCCGCCAAATCATTATTCAAAATTGCCATTTTGACGATAAATCGCCATATCTGGCTACACTGGACATGCCCCGCCATTGAGCCACTCTTAAGATATTTACATGCATTTATATGTCTTTAATCTTTATAATCTAATATCTATGTTTCGAACCTAGATATGTAAAGAATATGTCTATGGTTTATAACCTTCTGTCAATCCTGTTGAGCTATTCCGGTACTGTCACACTATTTACAATATTTGGTTGAATCGTTGAATGTCTACTTACTAAATGAGTTGTTCAATTTCTTTGTTATTAATTAAATGCAATTTGATTCACTATAATTTATAGTGATTTTTGAATTTATAGTTATCTAAGGTATTTATAAGTAGGAATTTGATTAATAATGGGTATGCCATTTTATAATACTTATTAAAATTTTAAAGAATTATTAATAGTTAATTTTTTTATTATTTCAGTGGAAAATGAAGGTATTTTACATCCTTTTATTCAATTTAAGTTAATTGCTCCAGATACAGTTAAGAAATGTTTAAGTATAAAAAATGAAGAAAAACTTGGGCAAATTATTTTTTTAGATAAATACAGTTCAAGGTAATTATTTTTTAGTCTTACATTATTACAGATCTATGATAAATGAGTGTGGGTCATTTGATTGAAAATCTTGTAGTCGATAGTTAAGTGATCGAAATGTCGTAATTAATTTTTTTTTTTAAAAAAAACAAATGGTCGAATATTTAATTAATATGGTCAAAATATTAATTAGTGATCCAATAGGTTTTTTCATAAACCGAATTTAATAATAACTTAAGTTGACAAACATAATGAAAATGATAATATTTTGATTGTGATTCCTTATCGCTGAACATATTATTCTATTGAAAATGAATTGTTTTCACATCAATTTTCTAGAAATTTAAATGACTATTACTCAGAAACTATTGATCGGATATGAATGTATGGTACATTAAAATAGTTGGAGTAATATTTTTTACAACATGGCTATTTTGTAAATATTGAAAAGTGAAAAAGTAATTTTTTTTCATTGATTAATGTATGAAAAAAAAAAGTAATAATGATGTAAAACACTGTAGGACACTGTATTTAATAATTTTAGATTACTTTATCTAGTATTTGTATAGCTGTAATCCGTAGGTAGTAGGTACCTACAGTGTTTATCGTTGAAAAGTATATGATCCAGGTTATAATTTATTAAAATAATACATCAGAGGACTAGCTTAAAATTTAAATAATAATAAAATAATACAATTTTGTATTTTCATTATGTACTAATTATTTAAATATTTTCAACTTCGTTACAAGTTTACTTAACTGGAAACTTTATTTTTCAATTTTTTTTTTTTTTAAAACCACGTCTTTTGACGCTGATTACGGAACTGTTCCATTCAATCATTTGGAATTGATCGTGACGCATTGGGTAACACATTATTCATGGTATTTTAATCACTTTTTTTCAATCAAATGATGTCCACCTATGAAAAATATTCACAACATTTGGGTGATTTTTAAAGTATTTGATATTTTTGCATTTATTTTAGTTATATTTGGATAAAATTTAATTTCGCACATTTTTTTTTTTTTGACAACCCCTTCTCCTTTTTTTGGGTAATTATTTTTTATTAAATTTAATGGGAAAATGAACTTCCTATGTTACAAAATAGCCGAGTTATGGATATTTACATGTTTGATATTCATTTTTGAATTATTAATTTTTACACCTCGTGATATCTTCTAGTATTATTTTTAGTGCCTACTTTGGGAGAGGGATAATCCTCTCCCTTACAGAAACTTACTTTTAGATTCTGCGCAGAGCGAGGAATGTATTGGATTTACATGATGTTTTTTTTTTTATCTGAATGAATTTTCTACCAGAAATTTTTCTCTGATTTTTAATTATAGTACTTTCTGAAAGGAAATTTAACTAGGGTGGTACTTTAATGAGGCCATTTTTCGATTTTCTTAGCTGTTCTCATAATAAATGAAAAATACATAGGAAAAAATGTATAATATTAAAGAAAATATATAATGGATATTATGTAATTATTTTACCATAATATGACATAGGTATGTTTTTTAACAAAGCAATACTATTAACTGAACAACGTTCATAATTGTTTTTTGTTAGCAATGGTTTATCATTGCGTACATATGTACATTAAATTTCCCTTCTACCTTACTTCTCACCTACAACAGTGGCACACCCATCATACAAAGTATGTTCGTATCTTTTTTTTTATAAATAGTCTCTTACAATTACAATCAAAACTAATATCAAATATTCAAGTATCGATAACTCAGTTATTTTAAACATAGGAGTTCCTACTAGGTTTGATAATTAAAATACATAAAAAAAAAAAAAAAGTTATACATGTGCTAGAAATTAAATAGTATAAAAATAGTTTAATTAGTTTAATAAGTGTAAAAAAGTTTTTTAGGCACTCAAAAAAACAGAATTCAAATATATTTAATATGTGCAGTTATAGTGTTTCCAACTAAAAATCACACACTATATAACTGTGATTAAAATGTAAAAAGTGTATTTGTTCAGAACTTGCCTTTTAACATATATTTTAAATTTATGTGCACTAAAATTATCCTCGATTTTCATAAATCCAGTATTATTACAGGGTGATTATTTTAATGCTGATCACTCATTATTTCGTAAAGTATAAACTTTTTTTTAAAAAAAAAAAAAAATGTTTAGAAACAGGCAGTTTCAAAATGTTATATCACCATTATTTAAACGACTACCAACTTTTAATTTTTAAATAGTAACCTATATTAAAAGTTCCATACATAGATTAGTATTAGTATTAGTTTAAATAAATTTTGGTGTTAAAATGTTTGATTTCTTTCAACCTATTCACAAGATATTCCACTTTTAAATTTAGGTAGAAAGAGAATAGTGGTGTAATACTCCACTGCTTTCCCCTGACCCAAATTTAAAAGTGGAATATCTCGTGAATGGGAATTTATTTAAATTAATAGAATTTTTAATATAGGTTAACATTTCAAAATCAAAAGTCTGTAGTCGCACCTTTCGCCTTCCCAAAATAATGATTTAACTTTTTAATTCTTTTTATTTCTTAAATTTTCAAAACATTTATTTTTGAAAAAAGTCTATACTTTGCCAAATAAATGTTCAACAATAAAAGAATCATTTTGTATATTTAATTGTTTATATTTTTATGTTAAGAATGCAACTTCCATAATTTGAAATGAAATGAACTGAGAATGTTTTTAGCTCATTGATTTTTTTTTTTTAACTTACCTATTAATCATTAACTGTTATTCAATTAAAATATAACTGTACCAATAACATATGTAGGGTGATTTATTAAGCATACTCACCCCTTTTTTTGGTTAAATCTTACATATATTCAAATTTAAATTTTTGCGATTTTTAAGTGTAGTTCATACCTATATTTTCAAATGCTTGGAATTTTCACAACATTTAAAGATATTATAGATATTTACAAATGATATAGCCCATATAAATAATTTCAATTTACATACTATTAAAAAAATTCTTAAACGTATTAAAAAAAAAAATAATATGTGTTAACGAATTCGCTAAACTTCTGAACAATAATATAAATAATGTAAAACTCACTTTTAAGACTAATAATAATTGAATCAAACATATAAATAAAATAACTAAAAACTTCACAAACGATGTAAGCAATTAAACATCATATCTAAATATATCAACATCAAGATCAACAGTTTAACAGAATCGGCAACCAAAACCAAACAAAAAGCAGAAATTGAGTATTTAAATTGTTAAAAATGTAACATTGTAGAAAATATTAAACAGATCAAAGCACTATCAAATAAATATAAATATAACTACATTAAAAATTTCATATCAAAAACAACAAAATATATATATAAAAAAAAAAAAGATCGAAACCTTATGTTCAAATATTTTAACCAAAATTCACTAACCTTACAAATATTACTTTCAATCAAAAAGGAACAGAACTTTTAAATAAAGGAAGTAAATATAATCTATATAATAATATTAATTACTATTAAATCGAAAAAGAAACTATTAAATGTCAATCAATAATTAATTACATTCCAAACAATTTTATTTTATTTACAAAATTTATTAAATGTTTAAACAGATTATAAAATTATAATTTTTTTTCTTATCTACATAAACTTGAAGATAATAATAATTGTAATAACATTATCTAATCAAATTTCTCTGCTATAATTGTTTTGTTATAAAAAAATATGTACACAATTGTTTGATATTATAACAACTGTTTATTTTTATTTTAAAATGTATATTGTTCATTTTTTAAACTGTTTTATGTGAACCATTATATAACATTGTTCATCAGCAACCTTGTGATAATGTAAGCCGAAACTAAGTATTTGCTTAAATAAAACTTATTAACACTTTATGTCAATACATTTTTTAAACAAACATTTTTATGTAAAAAATATTACCCTTAATTCTAAAATTTGCTAAACATGTTTTAGAAAATAACCATAAAATTAGCTTTAATATTAATACAGACCTAGAAATATTAAATACACAAAATAACATATACAATAATTCAGTTTTAGAAGAATTACATATACACAACAAAATAGAGAAAAATAATTTTAATAATCAATCTCTCCTATAAAATAAATTATTTCTATGTATTCCTTCATTTAATTTTTTTTTATTCAGTCGCGTTTTACATTTTGACTGTTATGTATCTGATGATGAATTTTTAATTCGAAACAGGTTAGGTTTGCATGCATTCTTATATTTTTTATTTTTATGTACATACACATTTTTTTACAAGTATTAGCCATTTTAATAATTTTGTTTTTACTTCATTATTTTATTATAACTGATCATTATTTTTAACTGATGCAATCTCTAATGAACAGAATTCTTATCAAAATATAAATATAAATTAGATAAATATTAGCTATTTAATTTAGAAAATTGGTTTTCCACTTTTGATTTTGATAATGTTGATTCTATGCCTAAGGTTTTCAATTCTAAATTAAAAGAGTTTATTCTTCTTTCAACTATTTCTGTAAATGATTTTGTATAAAAAACAATATTTAAATTCAAATAATAGATTATATCTGATATAATAACTTCAATTAGAAAAAAGAAAAAATTGTTATTTGATATGCGTTTTAAACTCTTCTATAATAACCATTTTTCATAATAACCATAGCAATTTGTTTAATGTATTTATAAGAAAATCAAAACAATTATATTATCAGAATAAATTAATAAAAGCTCAGTTTGATAGTAAACAATTATAGAATATTATTAATGAGGTAATAGGGAAATCAAACAAAAATAAAATATGTGATATAAATAAGATTATAAAAAATGATGGTTTATACAATGAATCTATCAGAAATTTGTAATGAGTTAAATTACTTTTTATTAATGTTGGAAATAACTTAGAAATAGAACATATAAATCACAATATGGTTGATGCCTACAGAACTATAAGTGACAGTATATTTTTAAACCAATTAATTGTGACAAAATTATGTTACACCTTAATAAAATCAAAAACTATAATTGTTTTTATAAAAATGACTTGTCTAATACATACTAATAAAAACTTCTAAATTTATTTTTTTACCATTATCTATTATTTTCAATAAATCTCTATTAACTGGTCATCCATGAAACATCCATCCAATTTCAACTACAGATACGCCAATGGGTATTCGTCCCCCCTTCCCTTGGGTTGCATAATTATATGTGACAATATGTGTGTATTGTTATATTTTTAAAATTTTTAAGAATGGGTTAAAATATATTTCTCCCCCCCGTAAAAAAGGCCTAGGTACGCCCCTGCTTTTTAAGTTGGATAACTTTATTAGAAAAAAATATTGACAACAATAATAAGGTAAAAGGCGGGTTTTAGATGTTCAGAAAGCTTTGGATTGTGTTGATCATAAACAATTAATTATTAAATTAGAATACGCAGGTATTCGTGACATACCTACCTAATGACTTGCTAAAATCCATCTTAAGTGGTAGAATTCAAAGAATTAAACTTAGTGATCAATATAGTAAAATTCTAGAAGTATCTTGTAGTGTATCTCAAGGAACAGATTTTGATCCCCTATTATTCACAATTTTTATTAATTAGATAATTAAAAATGCATACTAATTTAAATACGGAAATTCTAAGTTTTGCTGATGATACTACAATTTTATTATCTGAACAAACTATAGATACTTACTATTACAAGGCAAATGAAACTAAATAATATTCATGTTTGGTTTTGCAAGAATGAATTGATTGAAATTAAACCACTTTAAATAGCAATATAATTAATTTTTGTAATTTGGAATCTTTCAAAAGTTATATTTAAGGCCTTGATTTATCTAGTACATAGTTTATATTAGTGATTTTAAATACTACGTATTTACTCATGCTATAGTTTTCCTTCTTTATTTTAACCTTTTTTCTATTTTTAATAGTATACTTTATTTTTTATATTCTAATATCAATTATCACAACATGATAGGTTCAATTTTAATTGATGAGAACTGCTTCCCTAGCACAAGCTTGGCTTATAAAGGGTGCTACAATTTAATTTATATTTGGTATTTATTAAATTTATCACCTGTTGTTTTTTTGCAAAATATTTAAAATAATATATTTTTAAAAAAAAAACTACACCTAAAATTTCCAAAAATCTAAATTTGAATAAATGTAAAATTTAACCAAAAATTGGAGTGATCACACTTAGTAAATCAGCCTGTATATAGAATATACTCGTTTGTACACAATTTCAGAGATTTTTCCAATGTAGTTAACATATTTCTCACTATGGAGACAACTGACTTAAAGAAAATGGAAGCAAATAAAAACTTGAATAATCTAAATATTTTTTTTGAAAAAAATGTAAGTTATAATATTTTTGAATTTATTTTTAACACAGTATTTTAAACTAAGAAGATAAGAATATTTAAAGCATTAAACGTGCCCATATGTTTTACATATACCTAATATAATACTAAATAGATTGTAAACTAAACTTTTGTAGCATGTAAACGAGCTTTTTTCAAACTTACTAATAGTTTTAAATGTTTTTATATATATATAGATATAAAATTACACACACTGAAGATTAACTACAGGAGTGGTCAACCAGGGGGGGGTGATTTATCCCCCCCATTACATAATTTTTCTTAAACATTTATAATAATATACAGCAATATTTTTAAGCACAATCATCCATTTTTATGGTTAAAATTATGCATAATAAATGAATAAATTCAAATAGTTAGATTTTTCACAATAGTTAAGAAGCATCTTATGACAGTACCAATTTTAGTTTTTCAAATGAGAACTTAAATATTTGAGTATAAATTGTCAATTAAATGATTTTTTTGAAAAAGTTGACGTATTGTAATTGAAATTTTAATGACAAGTTTCTGAGTTATTTTACTTTAAATATTAAAGAATAATATCTGCGCGATTTAAAGTAAAAAATTGCCTATACACAACTTTTATGAAACGTCAATTTAGAAACTTTTCATTGATATTTTTAAAAAAATCATCCGTCCGATTGATGATATGCATCAAACCGTGTCAGTTCTCATTTGAAAAATCGAAGTTGTTATCGCCATATAAAATATATGAAAATATTGCTTTTCACTACACTTAAAAATTTCAGAATTTTGAGAATTTGAATTTAACTAATGATGGACACTATTGAATAATGTCTTGTATATTTGTACTATCAATAGTTTTGATGAATTATCAAATATTTTTTTGATAGGTAAATAATTCTACAATATACTACCTACAGTTGGCTATACAAAACAACAAAAGACATATGGTTTGGTAGCCTTTGTATCCAAGCCAACACTCCCCTATCCCAATTTATCTAGATAGTCAATATATGATTATTTGGACATGATCCATTAGAGGTTTTGGTTAATTTGTTACACTTGCGTAACAATTAAAAATCTTTGCTTTGTTTTTTAACTCATGTGTTTTGCATGTCAACATAAGTGCCATTTTTAAGTTTGTATACATAAAAATATATTTTACGAAAAAAAAAATTGGTCAGATTTGTGGAAATATACTTTAAAAAATCCTAACAAGCCGAGTCAAGTGCTATGTAAACTGTGTAAAATATTTTTAAAGTTTTCAAATAATATGTAAAATCTATGGAATCATTTGAAGAAGAAATATCCGACGATATTAGAACTGGAAAAATCAAGAATTTTAGAAGTAGACGACCATAACGTATAATTTTATTACAAACAATAATATTTCAATAATATCGACAAAAAATAACGAAGTAAAAACTATTCGAATAGTTTGAATGCAATCAACTATCCAGTAGTTCGATTAGTAACTACTTTAATAGTGCCCATCACTAAATTTAACCATAAAAATAAGGTGAACATGCTTTAAAAATTAGCCTGTATGTTATAGTATATGGTGTAGTTATGAAAAAAGTTATGTAAATAATAATAGTTATTAAAAATCATCCTTATCCTCGTGACAAAATCATTTAACCGCCACTGATTTTTAATAAAAAAAAAAAAAAAAAACTTCATTTCATGGTAAATCAAATTTTAGTAATAATTAGTTTTTGCACATTTTACGGATTTTAAAATTAGAAATTCCAATTTGTGTACCCTAAAGTTGTTATAGATCAATAATTTGATTAATCCAATAATTATTGTATTATACATTATTTTTCTTTTTTAACAGTGGGGACGCTGAAACTTTCCTAAAAGTTGTTTATATGTGTTAGGTTGTTTTATTTATACTATATTTGATTAATTAATTAATTTTTTTTTTTTTTAGAAACATGTCAAAGAAACTCATAATAGAACACTTGCAGTAATGAATTCAAGATTAAATAAGAAGAAATTTTAGTATGATATTTGTTCTTTATTTTGTTTTGAACAAATAATTTGTTTTATCATATAATTAATAAAATAAAACGATACCTATTCCTTTAGAATTTAATTATTTTTTCCTTCGTCTCAACTATTAAGTGTCAATCACCCTTATTTTGTTATACTTCCAGCGAAGCAAAGAATGTATTGGTTTTATAATGGTGTTTATTTTTTTTTTACTGTGTAATTCTTTCTCTTATCTGTGAGCAACTTTTCTACCAATAATTTTTCTTCGATTTTCTAGTGTATCACTTTTTCTGACATAAAATCTGACTGGGGTGGTACTTTAGAGAGTAATTTTTATGATTTTCATAATAAATGGGGAAAATTTGAGCAGTCACGTAACCAAGCTTAAAAAACCTATATATTAACCTTATATTGTGCCTATACTTATATTTATACCTTATACATTTTCATTAGCAGTAACTGTTTTATTTTCTGTAATCTGCATTGGATCATCAGATGTAGATAAACGAGCCATAATATATACAACGGAGGTCGTTTTATCATTTATACAACGACCCATTTAGTAAGATATTTTATGTTCTTAGTTTTATAAATACTAATATGTATAATCAATGTTAAAATAAAGCATTCAACCAAACTGGAATACTAGATTATACCAATAAATTTTAATACTAAATAAATAATAATTAGTATTAAGTAATAAGCAAAGAAATAACTGGAATAATAATTACATTTATACAAATTACAATTATACATAATGCTTATTATACTCATAATATCAAGATATAATATGGGCTATCTACAATGTTTTGCTAACAAAATGGCGGATGCACATAGCTAGCTGCCTCTGTAGTGCTCTAGTATAATGGTCATAGACTAGTAGTACTCTATGATAGTGGTATGTCGTACCATTGTGTTTACTAGTGCTTATAATCAATAGTAGTTATGTAGATAGAATATATACCCCTTCACAATAATTTTAACAATATCAACCTAGCACTTGCCAGAACCCTGAACTCAGTATCATTTAAGTGCCACAATGTACCATATTGTCATGAAGTTAAAAGAATATGGTAAATTTAATTTTCTAAAATCCAATACCTAATTAAATTATTGTGTGAATAAGTTTTTTACATTTTCTCAAACAATATATTAACACCATACCAATTTCATTAAATTAACATTAGGTAGATTAAATTGAATAGCAATAGGTATTTGTTATACTTAAATTTTTGAATCTGTGGTATGGCGATTCTTTATAAGTTCATAATTACCTAATTTGTATGGAAGATGAGCCACTGATTAAGTATTAATCATTATGTCCATTTTTAAGATAGCACTATCAATTACTATAATAATAAATGAATCCATATGTATCCATACTATAGCCAAGATCTAAAAATGTGGATCTAAATGACTCGGGACCATATTTTCTCGAGATCTGAATGTAGACTGGCCCGATATAAATTCTTATCAAACTATTTACCGGAATCTGGATAACGCGAATTTATATTTTGCCATATTACTGATTTAGAGTCGAATGTCCTATCCATTATGTATTATCTGTGGTAGAGGTTCTCAAACTTTTTATTGCACGACCAATTTTGGATCGTAATTTAAATTTTTGCGACCCGTAATAATATCAATAACCCTTTTTTTTTTTTTTTTCATTTTTAATTTCTGGATGATTTATAAAGTTTGTTCAGGCATATACTCTCATTTGCAAGTATGAATCCAATTTGCGGGCAGAAAATTTGTTCAAAAGAAAAAAAAAAGGAACATCATTGTAAAACCAATATATTCCTCGCTCCACATAGAATCTAAAAAATTTATTGTTTAAAAAATAACGCTACCCATACTTTGGGAACCTCTGATCTATGGTAATATCATACTATCATAGTTACTTACATTTGGAACAAAGTATATTGATAGGTTGATCCATAGACTTATAATATTATAAGGTTATATGGGTTCTATGGGTTCAATACACCTTGATTCGGAGTAATGAAGTAGTAAATATTCTTAAGTCCTAGTAGTTATTTTTCAGGATTGGTGTCTTCCCAAAAAAAAACCTATACTATTTTGTTGTGTTTTCACCACGAGAGTGTGCTGAACAATTATATTTTTTATCAATAATCAATTCGATGAAAATAAAGTGAATTGTTTTGTATACATATAGGTAGTTGACAGAACAGATACATATTTTAGAAAGTGAATAATAATATATTATGGTTAAAATCTAAAGTTAGATTATATCACATATATTCTGTTTAATTACAGAAAAATAATCATTGTGCTATTTTATTTTATGAACAATATTCTGTAATTAAATTTATTACATTTTTATCAATTATTTATATGTATTATATACCTACCTATTTATATACTATATATCTTTCTTTTTTTTATTAATCTAAGTTTTAAATAATAATAACAAATAGGTACTTATAATGAAGACTGATCATTATTTATAATATGGGTACCTGTTGTAGTCGGCATTCTCCTGATCCTACTCATCATCTGGGTAAAATCTATTTATATTTTCAATTAGTTTTAAAGTAGGTTAATCCACCTAAATTTTTTTGAACAAATAGGTATTTATTTACTTTTTAGTATTTCATCATGGTTATAAACTGCAAGATACTATAGATGTATTAAATAAAGGATCTGGTGAAGTGCGTTATGTAGCTGATTTGAATCGTCAACATGGGACAGCAAGCATTAAAAGACATGGTGTTGATATCATACGTACTCCAACATCAATGCGTAATGATAATTTTATTTTTTCATATTTGTTCAATGTTCTTGTATTTATTATAAGGTTAATTTTAGTTCATTCATCTTTACATGGACGAATTGTGGTGGCTGTTTATAATTACCAATCAAGGGAAATGTCAGATGTCTCCTTTGTTAAAGGAGATAGGATGGAGTTATTAGATGATAGTGAACCAGATTGGTGGCGAGTAAGACATTTAAGAACTAGTGAAGAAGGATTAATACCTTGGAATTTTGTGGCTGAAGAAAAATCTGTTGAGAGCGAAGAGTAAGAAACATTATTAATACTTGATCATAGTTATTAAAATTGAAAAAAAATGTTTTTTATTTTTATATTGTTAGTTGGTTCTTTGGAAAAATTTCACGCAAAGAAGCAGAAAAGCTTTTATTATCTGAAGAAAACCAAAGAGGGACTTACTTAGTACGTGATTCTGAACACAATCCAAATGGTTTCTCTCTTAGTGTTAAAGATTGGGAAGGAGGTCGTGGATATCATGTAAAACATTATAAAATAAAATCACTTGATAATGGAGGTTTTTACATTGCTACTAACCAGACTTTTTCTAATCTTCCTGAGCTCATAATTGCATACTCAAGTAAATAGTTTTAAAATTATTATTTTTTCTTATTCAAGTGCCTATTTATTAATTTATGTTTATTATATTTAGAAAATGCATTAGGCTTATGCCATGTTTTGGCTCATCCGTGTTGTAAACCACAACCACAAATTTGGGATCTAGCTCCTAATTTACGTGATCAATGGGAAATAGATCGTAGTGAAATTCAGTTAATTAGAAAACTTGGCCATGGTAATTTTGGTGAAGTCTGGTATGGTAAATGGCGAAATAACATTGAAGTAGCTGTAAAAACTCTTAAACAAGGTTCTATGTCTACTCAAGCATTTCTGCAAGAAGCTTCTATAATGAAAAAGTTCCGACATGATCGATTAGTTGCCCTCTATGCAGTTTGTTCAAAAGATGAACCTGTACTAATTATACAAGAATATATGTGTAATGGGAGTTTATTGGAGTTCTTACGAAATTGTGATAGTAAATATTTGCAATTTGGTGATTTAATCTACATTGCTGCTCAAGTTGCTAGTGGAATGGCATATTTGGAATTAAAACAATTAATTCATCGGTAAAATTATTTATGATTTGTTTTAGTTAATTATACATTTTATATTTACTCCAACTTGTGTAGGGATTTGGCTGCAAGAAATGTATTGATTGGTGAAAATAATATGGCCAAAATTTGTGATTTTGGACTAGCCAGAATAATAGAAGATGATGAATATTGCCCTAGACAAGGAACACGGTTTCCTGTGAAATGGACTGCCCCTGAAGCTATTGTTTACGGGCGTTTTTCAATCAAATCAGATGTATGGTCATTTGGAATATTGCTTATGGAATTATTTACGTATGGTCAAGTCCCATATCCTGGTAAAAATTTATATTAATTTTACATTGATTCGTAATTATAATAAGATACTTTTGTTACACACAATTTAAGCCTTGTACTATAAAAAAAATCTTTATCAATGGAATAACATTTATATTCTGAGTGTAGCATAGAAGCTATTAGATAGTTTAATTATGTGTATTTTTTAAGAAATCACTTTCAATTAATAAAAAGTTCCAAATTATTCACACTACCTTAAAATGTTTAGATTTTTCATCCAGTTACACTAAATTTTCAAAAAATTGTCAGCTTCAAACAATTTTTCTATACAGTTTAAAAGTCTAACAACAAATGTTGATACATTATTTATGTTCGGTCTTCTAGATTTCTGAGTTACTTTGGTTATATAACGAAAATACGAATAATACTACTCCTGCCAAAGAGTAAATCACTGATTAATATTGTGTACACTAGATTCCAGAATACCAAGATTTTCCAATGATTACCAAGATGTTCATGATCACCAAACATTTCCTTTAGTTATTTACCCATCGACTCCTACTGTCATTTAATTATACATTATCCAGCCATTCTCCCACCCCAGGTTATTTTACACTTGTTCTTTGGTGATTTCCATGATTTATATTAGTCATGTTTTTATTTTAAAAATGGTTTTTTGCTCAATACTGTGCATTAGTAAAGCTATGTGGTACAGCTAGTATAATATAAATAGTATTGTTTTTAATATAATTACTATTCTTAATAAATATATCTTATATTTAGGTATGCATGGTCGTGAAGTAATTGAACAAGTAGAACATGGATATCGTATGCCAAAGCCTGTATCCCATTTCATTCCTGATGATATTTACAGACTGATGTTACTGTGTTGGGACTCTGATCCAGATAAAAGGCCTACATTTGAGTTCCTTAATCATTATTTTGAAGACTTTACAATTACCTCAGAAATACCATACAGGGAAGTAAGCGATTAAATGTACAAATCTTGCGCCATATGTGCCATACTGGGTCGCAAGTCCTTATTTTGTCAAATTAATTTAATATTCATTTGAATACCATCCTTAAGTAAGCAATACTTATTTAAAAAGAAACAATTATATTTAATTTATTATTATCTATATTTATTTTATTAACTAACTAACATTTTGTTTAATTGTTTTAGTTTTTCTTAGTTTTTTAGATCTCATTTTATTTTATTTCTTTACTTATTGATTGTTGTGTTATTCTTTTATAATTTTATTTTGTGTTTTAAACTTAATGAATTTATGCCAAATTTAACAAAAATTTAATTTAACATTAAGTGAATAATATGAGAACATCATATTAGAACTTATAATATAATATATATCTTAATAATTTAAATTATAATAATATTTTATATAATTATTTAAATATATTATACAGGGTGGTTTTTATTAAATAACATTGCTAACATTATACTTCCGAAATGCCTATAGCTATCTATTTCTTGTTGGTACTCGACCATACTGCCAAACATAATTCTTGCTATTACCATCGTAATCAACGATGCTAGTCCATCGTCAATATATACCAACCAGTATCCAGCATTTCTACATATTTCATCACTTAGTCCTCCTACCTAAGTCGCAGTCATCCCAAAGGCTTTTTTTTTTTTTTGATGCACATATTGAACCATCTAAACAAAAGTTCCCTTTTTTCTCCATGTATAACTTGCCCATTGAAGTTTCCCTAATTTTATTATGCTTTTGATAAGCCTTTTGTTTAAGTTCTTTGTTTTTTTTTTTTTTTTAAATTCTCCATTACTCAGTTATTTCATCTAAGCAAGGTTCTAAGATTCTTCGTAATGAATTCTTTAGGAGATCCAAAGTTTGTTTTGCTCAAATTTCCATTATGTCTTGGCTTCATATTCATACATTACTACTGGATGGATGTGAGTAAAATACTTATTAAATCTCGATCTTCTTTAATATTATTCTTGCTGTTAACAAGTTATTCAATCCGTAATGTGAAATTTTTTACCAGATTAGAGTTTCACTTTTATTTCAATAAGTTCATCATTTTTTTATGTCAAGTTTGATTTCAGATATTTTAACTTGTATAATCTTAAACCTATACGGTCAAACTTCTAGATATGGGTGTGCATGATCTACAATCTTTTCTTTTCGCATGATCATTAATTCAGTATTTTCGTATAATTTGTCCACTTGTTCGATAAGATTTTCCTTTGTTTCAACCAATAAAACTGTTATCTGAGTAAACCAATATTCCTATTATGCAATCATCCAATCGTATTTTATTATCTTCAATATGGTTCTCCCTGATAAATTTTTCTCAAACTATATTAAATAGTATGGGGAACAAAGCATCTTCTTGTCTTAAACCAGTCGTTACTGGCATGCCTTCTGATAAAATATTGCCAACTTTGATTTTTTATTTCTATGTGTAAGATACTTGCTTTTATCTATTGAATTAATTTTTGTGGTTGTTTATACCTTCTTAATTTGTTTAAGAGAGATTCTTTATGTAAACAATCTTGCACCTTTTAAATTTGATAAATAATAGATTCATTTATTTGTCAATCTCCCACATTTTTTTGTAAAATTTACTTAAAAATGAATTCTTGATCTATGTATAGCCATACTACTATACAAAAAGTTGCAACAGTATGTATTTTTAATTGTATACTGAATAAATATACAGCATTTAGTTTATATTTATTTTTTAAATTATAAAAAGCAAGTAAACTTTACTTAATATGTTAATACCTATTCAATATATTAAACATGAATCATAAAAGAATATTTTTTTTAAATTTTTCATTTTTGAATTGTTTATATTATATTCCATAGGGTGTTTCATTAAGAACACCAGATTTAATTTCATTATTGTTTTAATAAAAAAAAAAAATTAAGAACAAACAAATTATATAAAAATGTAGTTTACGCACTCCGATTTATGTATGGAATATAATATTTGGCATATGTCCATATCTATTTCGCTGGAAAACTTCAGTTCTGGCGACGAAATTGCCTATCACTCACTGACACATATCCTTGTTCATTTCGTTAATAACATTACAAATGTTATCCTTAAATTCTTCTATAGTTCATGGTTTATTTTCATAGACGTGAGCTTTAACATTACCCCAAAAAATGAAATCCAATGGAATTAGGTCACACAACTTGGAAAGCTAGTTCTCATCACCACTTTGTGTAATAAGTTCATCCTCAAATTGTTTGCACAATAATATAATTTTCGCATGAGTAGTATGTCAAGTACCATCCTGCTAGAACCACATACCGGCTGTGTCCATATCACGTAAAGCTGGCCAAAAAAACTCTATAAACATACCTCGGTGACATTCTCCATTTACTGTCACTGTGTTTACATGTGTCGTATATTATATAAATAATTAATATACATAAATCCTAGTGTGTATATTACATGTTCGTATAATTTTTTTGTAATAAAGTAATAACAAAATTAAATCCGGCGTTCTTAATAAAATACCCTATATATATAAATATACCTGAAAACAAAGTATTATTTTGTTCACTTTAAATCACCCTGTATATTATTTATTAATGTATAAATTACAATAATGTTTTATTTATTTATTGTCTCATAAGAAAACAGTTTTTTTTTTTTTTTTTTTTTTTTTTTTTTTTTTTTTTTTTTTTGTACATTATTTAAATAAAGTGAATCCTAAATAGAAAAAATAACATTTTAGAATTTACATAATTTAATTTATAAAAAAATGTAAGTTTAATAATCAATGCATTTATTAATAATTTATTTAATTTGTTTATTTATTGATCATTTTTTAAATTATTTAAATATAAACTGGAGTTGCTATTAATTATTATTATTTTTGTTATTTGTGAATTTTATTTTTTTTTAAATTTTACATAATATAATTAATGTACAATTTGATACAATTTTATTAATACTAGTTTACACAATGCACGTATAAATCTCATTTATCTCTGATCATTTTTCATTACTTAGTTCGAAAATTAATATATTAGTAATTATTTTCTAAAATAGAGTTTAGTTTTAGTAACTTTTCAAAATTCTCAATTTTAATTTTAAATTTCTTTCCTCAATAATTAAACAATGTAACATTAAATAAACCAAAAATCATTAAAAATAGATTATATTTATTTTTAGTATACTTAACTATGACACTACTTTAATCTATAATTAAATATAATCCTACCATAGTTTTATTGTTTATTATTTAAAAAAAACATATTTAATATCATGGCTTTGTGATATCATTTAAAATGATTTTATTTTTATTCCTTTGAGTAATAATAATCATTTTAATTAACATAATCACATTTAAAATTTTTTAAATATTAATCTCTCCTAATAAATTAATAAATAACTTAAATCTGTAAACATTTGTACTCTCTTCATTGTTAGTAAACAGATTTCCCAGTTATAAAACATGTACCTATAATTTTTCTTTACAAATATAGGCGGTACTATACCCTATTTGCAGGAGGCAGACAAACACTATCTTGTCCAAATTTTTTAGGCTCGTTACACTATTAAAAACAATGTTTAATTTTTAACTAAATTGGTATATTATGTTACTTTTAAAAATTTTAATTATTCAAAATAATTACAAAAATTACTGCCTGTGGTAACAAATATTTAATAAACTGTTAAGTAACAATAAAGTATTATAAATTATTAATGAATTACACAAAACTTTTACTCATATGACATCGAAGTACATTATTTTACTTAATCTCAGTTTTTACTTATTTGATACCACTATAAAAAATAAAAACCTTCTATAATATTGCTTTGAATTATCAGATTATTGTTAATATAAACATAATAATTTTGTTAATATATTATTTCTTGTAAAATTAATATAAACTTCAAAATAGTCTTTATTATTTAAATCTACTCTATATTAAACTTTATTATTTCTGTGTGGTTTATATAAAAAATAAAATAATATAACTAGTCTGTACTCTATATAAAATATGTAAAATTGATTAACTTGTATGTCTAAATAATAAATATAGTTTGTCTGTGATACGTTTAATTAAACATCCATATATGTATTGAATTTACATTGTGTTTAATATAAACATAAAAAAAATAGCTAAGCGGAAAGTTATTAAGAGGAATAGCATTATATATACATTAAAATTTGTGGCAAATTTAAAACAAATTATATAAACGACCAAAATATAAATTATATCATAATATAATAAACACCACTACATTATTGTTAGATTTGTTGTAAATTAAATATTTTGTTTTTTACTCACTTAATTTAACGAAACTTAAACACTGAGTAGTGTTAATATGATAAATTTTAATTTTATACACTATATTATTGACACTAAATGTAATTATGTTTTTTATATACTAATTTATTTTAATGATTAATTTTTCATTAGCTATAATATTTTTAACTTTTTATTAGTTAAACAAATAATATTAAAATATCTTTATTATACTTTTTATAACAGAAATTGTGTTATCTTCTCTTAAATAATAATTTATAATTTAGTTAACTGACATTGAAAAATAATATTAAATAAAATTCACCTTTTAAGAAATTGGTCATGACTGTATTGGTAGGTATTTGTTTATTTTTATTCCTTGTATGAAATATTTAAAATTTAAGATTATAAAAATTATGTTTATATATTTTATAATTTCACTAGTCCTTTAAAATGTAATGAATACATATATGTATATATATATATTTTTTTTTTTGATACAATTCATTTTTTTGAAAAGTAGAATATATTATCTCTCAACAAGTGAATGTCTGATTGTTTTATATAAAAATGTTATAATTAGACTAATTTAATAAAACATCTATACAAAATACTCTAGTTTTAATTTTTAATTTATGAACAATATTTAAAATAATGGTTAAATATTTATTTTTAGAAAAGAAAATTGAATAATTATTGGTTTTAATTATTTATGCTATAAACAGATCTATTATTTTAAAAATTGTAACTACTTTTATTATTTTAAGATATTTCATGTATGCAATATGTTTTGTAAAATCTTGTAATATAAACAATAATTTTGTGTGTTTTTTATAATTACATTTTTGCCTAAATATATGTATTGTGAATATGCACACACTATAATATTATTACTATATTATTGTATTAGTGTTTTGTACACACTTGGATTAATATATCTGTTATAAGCTTGAAACTTAAAGAGTTGAGCTATATTTTATATGAAGATATAATATTACAAAATTATATTCCCAAAACGTGTTTTCTGTTTAATGAACATCACCACAATTTTACTCTATCAAATGAAATTTAATATTACATGTATTCTCATTATCAAAATGTTCTAATTCTTGTAAGCACTTAAATGCATTTAAAGTTATTTTACAACCAAAACGTTTAATTGAAAAATTATACATAATTATGTATTATTCATACATATTTAAAACAAAAATAACAATTTTCGCTTTTTCATAAAAGTCCAGCCAATAAGATTAAAATTCCAAAAATTTGATTCGCTTTGTTCACGTTATCGGTCACTATTGAAATTCAATTTCTGTATAGTACAATGAACGCATAAATATATTTTATAATCAGCTGTCAAATCGTATTAAAATAGCTGATAAAATCCGAATTAAATATTTATGGATTTCCCACAAATTATCTGTGGACTATGATCAACAACAACTCTACATACAGGTGTCATACACGTCTCACGATAACAATTGTGTTAATGGGTTTACACAGGCAATACTGAATATTTTTATGTATTTCAAATTATTCATATTATATTAATTCATACAAGTTTCGTTTTAATACAATAAATTATTAGTTTTATTATTTATTATTATTAAGATCTCTGTTCCTTTTGTATTTTTCGATCAGCAACACTCATTCAAGCTGTCAAACGTACAGCTTTAGATATACGTAAAGTGGTTATTAGGTTGCACAACGAAGGAAAAGTTTCACGTGAAATAGCTAAAATTTTGGCTATCGGAAAATCAACTGTTAACGATATAATAAATAAATTCAAGATTACAGGTACTTTAGAAGATAAATACTGTTCCGGGAGACATAGGAAAACAACTATTCGTGTCTATAAAATAATTAAAAGAAAGGCTGTAACAGATGTAAAAAAGAATGCTGCAATCATCGCACGTGAATTACGCGAACAAAATTCGGCTGACTTAAGTCGAAATACTATTTTACGTAAACTGACAGAAGTGGGATTTTTTAGACGTGTTGGAATTAAAAAATCAATCATTAATAAAAAAAAATAAAAGGCAAGATTAGAATTCGCTAAAAAATACCAGAGCTGGACTGCTGAACATTGGAAGAAAATGCTGTTTTCAGACGAAACTAAAATAAATTTGTTTCAAAATGATGAAAGAAGGTAAGTTTGACGATAAAAAGTTACTATAAATAGAAATGATCTTTGATATCAAACACCAACTTTCAAACACAATGAAGGTAGCCTTATGATATAGGGTGCATTCTCTTGGGAAGGCGTCGGTCCAATCTTTAAAATTGAAGGTACTATAAACTCTGCTATATATAGAGATATTATATTAGAAGAAATGCTGCCTTAAATGCGTCAAAAAATTCCACGAGGATAGATTTTTCAGCTAGATAATGATCCTAAACGTCGATCACAGCTCCTACAGCTTTTTTGAGCAAAAAAAATATTAGAGTTTTAAAGTGACAGAGTCAATCTCCTGACTTGAATCCCATAGAACACTTATGGCAAGAGCTAAAACTAAGAGTAGGAACTGTAAATTGTGCTAATAAAACTACTTTATGGAAAAAATGTTAAGAAGTGTGGAAAAATATATCTCAAGATAAAATCATCGAACTTATTGAATCGATGCCTCACCGATGTGCTACCGTGATAGATTTAAAGAGTATGACTACAAATTATTATTGAAAATCTTACATCTAATACCATTTACAATTTTTTTTTTTCTTAAGTTACTATATTTTTTTGTTTATAGTGCGTAATTTTGTATTTGGCCGATTAGTTATGAAAGAGGTAAAATTGACATTTTTGTTATAAATAATTATATATAGTTTTTCAAATTCCAGTTTTGATTTCATAATAAATAAACTTTACAATGATGTATTTGTATTTCCATTTTGCATCCTTTAAAAGTTAATTAATCATAAGATTTGGCCGGATACTTTTACACAAAATTGTATATCTGTACTCAATGACTAACCTAACCTAACTAACGACTTAATTGCTAACGAAAAAACAATTCTGAGCGTAGTTCAGTTGATAGCGTTATTTTGTCAGCAATATAATATTTATCTACCATATTATGGTAAAATAATTACATAGGTATGCATATAAATCATATCACTAGATACTAATTAATAATCTAGTTTATTATCTATATTTGTATTAAAAACACACAATAAAATATAATCTTAAACATTCATATTATATTAAAGGATCATGTGTGAATTACGTGTTTTTCGACGCATAATTTCCTTAATGATTTTCCAAAAAAAATCAAACAGTTCCGAAATTAATGTCGAAAAACACGAACTTATTTAAAAATAAAATTAAAAAACAACTTGTGTCCGGTAAACTAGATTTATACCTAATAAATTATAAGTAAAACTAAATCCGTAAGTAGGTATATCTTAATAATACACTAATATAATATTATCTTAGTCTGTGTTAAATACTAAGATTTGACTATTATTAAATAAGAGATAATCAAATAAAATATTTTTGCAATAAAATAAATATGTAATTAAAATAAATTATAGAGGAACTTAAAATGTAGAATATAACAAATTTAAGTTACTTTGCATCACATTTATATTATATACATTTTTATTTGTTTGGATGAATTGGATCCAATCGTACTTGATAAGAATTGTTATCAAATAATATGACGTCAACTAATCGCGTGTATTGATTTTACTAATTTCATTGAAAATTGGATTTTATTATTTCTATACAATGTTGATTAAATCACCAATTTTAAACGGTTAGGTCTAAATTATACTGTCTATCATAGAAATGTTATAGAGACTATAGTAGTACAGTTAGATTAGAGTGAATTGTTTTTGTCAAATCAAATACGATAACATTATTTAGTAAATGCCAATTTGAATACCATTTTTAAGATGTCAAAAATAGCCGAAAAGAAAATACATCATCAAAATTCAATTTGGAAAACAATAAAAAAAGCTACCACTAAAAATTCAGAATGGCCTGATAAAGTAAGAAAAAAAATATCTGAAACTAAGTATTTTATTTATTTATTTTTATCTGCAGGTATGTATAGGTAATATGTAAATATGTATAATTAACTTGTTTCTTTTAGGATGAGTTTCTTGATGTAATTTATTGGGCAAGACAAATTATAGGTCTTATTGCTGGGTTATTGTGGGGTCTCATACCATTAAAAGGATTATTTGGATTGGGACTGTAAGAATTATAACCTTCAATGAATTACATATTTTAAAATGTTACTTCTTTAAAAACATTTGATTTACTAATTAGGTTTTTAGTGCTCAACGCAGTAGTTTTATATGCGTATTTTACCAATTTTCAACAAATTGATGAAGAAGAATTTGGCGGAACTTGGGAATTAACAAAAGAAGGATTTGTAACTTCGTTAGCTGGATTTTTGGTATGTATATTTTATCTAAATCATATTTTTAAAGTCATAGCTAGAGTTTGGCGAGATTGGCTCAGATCAAGTGCTTATCCTGAATTTATTCATAATAGAAATGAATGGAAATAATAAGAGGTAGGTTATACAATCCAAAAGTTAATATGTGGCTAGAGGTGCTGAACTACAAGCACTTAGCCAGGGAAGTTAATGAGGCTTGGACCCCCACAGGAAAAATTAGATTATTGGTAGTTGGAGATAAATATTATGTTTGAACCCTCCCCTGCAATTAAATCCTGGCTACATACCTGTTAAAATATAAAAGAGAAAACAAATGGGTACTACTTGTATAATAATATCTGTTCATGTTTTTAAAAATTAATCCCAGTTATATCTTAATCAGGCGATTTGTTTTTTGGCGAATCTATTATAATTTGCAATTTTAAAATACGTTCTATTCATTAATTTATGTACTAAACAAATTATTATGTAACTTGAGCAGTCGGGTGAATCATTTACTGCATACATAAGTGTCCCACAAAGATATACCTATTGTAATATGTCTGGAAATAATAAAGATAATCAAATTCTGTATTTTGTACTCACAGTGATAAGGACTACAAGTATTTTTATTGTATTTTTTATGCTTTGATGAAAAACTTAAAAAATAACTTTATTTTATTATTTTTACATAAATTGAAAATAGTAATTTTATAGAGTTGATTTTTTTGAAAATTTTGATGTGATTTTTAATAATTTTTTAAAGTTCAGAGAAAAGTACTTATAATTATTATGCAGTAGGCTATAATTATATTCTCTAATTATTATTATGATTAATTGACTGTGCAATTCTTTTCTCTGAACTTTAAAAAATCACGAATCTAATGAAAATAAAGTTGATAAGTCAAAATGCTGAAAAGAATAAAAACGCATCTTTTAAATGGCTATCTTCAATTTTTTTCAAAAATAATAAAATTAAAATTTATATTTAAAAATAAAATAAATGAATGCGTTGCCTAGTAAATATAAATTTTTTATTTATATATTTATTTATGAGTATTAACTGTTATAGTAATTTTGTTTTTACTTTATTATAAAAAATTAATTGCAACATAAATATTTGTAGTTCTTATCCCAGTGAGTAATATATATATAAAAAAAAACAACAGAATATGATTATCTTTACTATCTCCGGAGATATTAAAATGGGTAAATCTTCGTGGGACACTGTATATATATATACATGTATAATTTTTAATGTGTTACATTTTAATTATATGGATATTTGTGTACCTGCACGTATCCTTGACGTTAATTAGTCTGTTAATTAAAATTTCACAGTATATTATTTTATTAATTTTTTCTAAACTAAATTTGTTTTGTTTAATTTTAGGTGATGTGGATAATTATATACTCAGGGATGCATTTCGATTAAAAGCAAAAGTATTCTAAAATAAAATTGTTGTATAATATTATTTGTAATAATGAATTATAGATAATTTTCTGTACAAAAATTGTTTTCTACATAATATATATTTATATTTAAATACATGAAGACTATGCTTTAACAATATGTTTATTGCCTTTTGGCTTGAGTTTTCTATTCAATACATGTTTTATATCTTGATCACTTTTTCCAACTTTCTTTGCATAACGTTCCTTTGCAATGTCCAAACTTTCACTGAGTTCAACAATCTTTTTCTAAAATTTTTATTATTACAGCTTTAATATTTAATATAATAATAATATTTATATCTTTAAATTTATCACATTTTGTATATAACTTACAGCAAATTCTCTTTGTAGTAACAGCTTTCGTTTTTGTTTCATACTAAATGGAGTGGGACGGCCATCTAAAAAGATGTAATCTGCACCATCAGTTAGAACACCTTTATCCATTGGATTAAGTGGCAATTTTTTACTAAAAAAATGAAAATGTCGTCAATCAATTGAACTCGCTCAGAATGTTTTTTTATAAGCAATGGTTTATCGTTGCTTACAATTGTACATTAAATTATCTATAACAGTGGCTACACCCGTATATTAGTTTGGGACTTCTTTTTATTATTAAATCTACATAATTATAAGCATTTAATATACAAAAGTACAGTTATTATTTTTATTATTATTTATGGATTACATGGACATTATAACTAATAACTTTTTTTTTTCACTTGTCAAAAAATGTCTTCACGTACCACAAATTGAGAATTGTTGCTTTATATAACATAACGTTAACTTTTACACGGGGATATTAAGTTTTCTTACATTCGTGCATGGAAATTCAATATTCATTGACATAATAGAATCTATTACTGTCCATAATACCATTATATAGATACTAGATAGGTAATTTATTAACCTTCCCTATTTCTCCGGTCTAAACTTTAAATTGCTGTTATAACTCATAAACGGTAAATCTGATATTAGTATTATAATGCATATAAAAATTTCTAGAAAAATATTTTCTATTCAAATCTGTTCAAAAGGAGGATTCCTATTTGAAAATCATAAGTATGTACTTAAAATCTTCTGAGATAATCGCTGGTTCATGATAAAGAAATCACCCTGTATATGGCATACTTTTATAGTATAATATTTACAATTTATTAGTTACAGTGAACTACATTAATAATAATAGCTAATACGTATACCAACTGAACTATACCTTGTATCTGGTATACAGAGTTCATGATATTATTAAATACATAATTATTATTGATATTAGAGATGTGACGAACTGTTCGATTTTTGAATCAAACTGAACCAAATACTCAATAGTTCGGTTTAAATATCTTTTGATGCCGATTCTACCCAGTCACCAATACAATTTTCTGAGGTGGGACAGAGTTGCCTTGTTACGAAAAAAAAAATTATATTTTTTTAGTATGGTTGGATTTTTACAGTCCAGGACCATACAGTTTATGTACATATTTTTCTGGTAGAATACAGTCTGTGACTATATAGTTAGTTACTTTCCGGATTTCTATAGTCTGTAAAAATACAGTTAGGTAAGGTTAGGTGTGAGCAACCCTATTTTTGGGTTAAGTTTTGCATATTATATTCAAATTTTGATTTTTGGAATATTTTTTATTGTAGTTAATGCCGATATTTCTGAATACTTAAAAATGTATTTAAAGAAAGGTAGGTACCTATTTTGAGACTATTTTTCCCTTTATTGAAGTAAGGTTAAATATTGCAAACATTATCAAAATACAAATTGTAATAACCACACAAATGCTTGCAGGTTCCATACTTTAGTATAATATTAACAATGTAAATAATTTAAAAAAATATGGGTTTTTTTTATATAAATATTAATTATATTATTAAAAAATACAATATTGTCATATGTTAATAATATTGAAAACTAATATATTATTATAGTGCATTAGTACATTTAACTACTTACAATGTTCTCCATGACATATCTAATCTAAGTGATGAATTTGTTGAAAAATTTGAGATTTTACTGAGAGTAGACTTGATATTTCTGAGTAAATTTAAATGTAACATTTTGTATCTTATTATATTTGTATATAATAAATTTAGAACAATGCAACAATTTCAAAAGAAGGAGTAATATTCAAAAAGTACAATAATACAATAAATTATAATCAGTTTTATAATTGAAATAAAATTGAATATTGTTATTCTGTAATATTTAATAACGTATGATCCACTGGCAATATTTGATAAGAATGTCCAGTGGTTCCCAATTTTGTATACAATATTGCTTATTGAACCCCTGAAATTGAACTGTTAAAAGTTAAACAAGTTGTCTACCCAGCACCTGAAAATGTGTTTTTTAAACGATTTTTGAAATTCTATTGCTAATGTTCAATTTTGTACGTATGTTGCCTACCTAGCACCTGGAATTGCATATTGATATAGGATAAATTGTTTAAATTAATATGTTTTCTGTTAAAATCTATAAGCTATACTTAATCTTTATTTTTTGTTGAATTATGTTATGTAATGTATGGCTACCTAAATACATAAATGTGCGTATAAAATAAATGTAGTTTTCCATATTTATTTTACACCCACCAACTTTATAATAGTTTAATATAGATACCATAATTTTTAAAATTGTACCTACATAATTAATGCTTAAAGTTTACAAATATCAAGATATTGCATATGAGAAGCAGAGCATTTCTTTACTTATTTTGAGCCATTTCAGCCATTGATTCTTTAATTAGATAAATGCTAAATATTTATTGTTACATTCAAATGATGTTTTTAATATTTTTATATCATTTATGACACAAATTATATTTATATTATTAGTTAGTGTTAAATTTTAAAATATCTATGATAAATTATATTCAGAGTTCATACAAATTACATACTTAGTATTTAATTTGATATATAAACATTAATTTTAGACAAGACTCCTTCTACAAGTACTGTAGTATAATAGTAGTTGATGATAATTACTCATAAAGGTATTGTCAATAATAAACAGGGGTATAATTTTCATTGAATAAAGTGAAGTTATTTTAGCTCATTACTAGAGACCAGATTTATATTCTTTTATAATCCACAAAAAGGTGCTTAAAAACACCAAAAAAGCCCTGAAAAGAAGCACTTAAAAACATTTAAAAATTTAAAATGATAGAGGGGTTTTAAAGTCTTTCACTAATGACAGCTGTTAAATTGAATTTCTTAACACTACAAAAATGATTAACACAAAATTATTTCTTTTAAATAACATTGTATGTATTATAAAAAAACAAATTACATTTTATTAATCAATTTTTGTAGTGGAAACGTGTTGTAACAAAGTACATATGGGAATTATAGAGGATTTCTGTATCTATAAAGATAACACTTCATTTACTAACATTAAAAGAAAGACCTAAGTTAGTGACCCACAGATTAAATAAATTATATTTGTCAAGTAAAAGAAGACCGCTAGAATGGAGATTAATTTTATAAAATATTTTTGTCATCGGCATAGAGAGGGAAATGAGCTTTTTTGAAATGTTTTGAAATAAAATTTTAATACAGTCAAAATAAAAGAGGACTCAAATGATCACCTTACCTTGAGGTACTCCAAAAGTGACATTAATTAAGTTGGATGAAACATCATTTAATTTAACAAATTATTTATGATTAAAATCTATGATTGGAATAGGATGACGTCAATCTGAGAGTCTTTACAAAGAGTGTCATAAATTAAGGAGTAGAAAGGATACACTACAGGTGAAAACCTAACCTAACCACTACAAGTACTCCTCCCTGCACGGAAACCATGTTGCTGGGAAATAAGAATATGATTTAATGTGGGTCTCAAATATTATAGATGATGGATTAAAATATTTTTGCAATATACAGATATATGAAAATAGGTCAATAATTGGTAACTAGTGACAAATTAGAAGACTTGAACACTGGAGTGTATTTTACACACTGATGGAAAAAATCCCTCATTGATAAATTTTATTACATTTAAAATATAATTTATATACACCTGGGTTATCATATTTATTAATTGGTAGTTTTTATATTAAATGATTTTATTATTTTAGAGACTTAATTATATTATTATCCTTGTATGTAGAGTTGTTTAAGTATTACTTAAAATTTGTGTAGACGTGTAGTATAGAAGTATATTGTATTTCTATAACATTTGGCGTTTCATAACATTATTTTATTTTATTTTTAATTTAAATTTGTATGTGTCTTTTTATTAATATACAATTGGACCAAAAACAATGTTATAAGTAATCTGAAGACTGTAATATATCGAAACTGAGTAGTTACGAAAAAATAACTTAAAAATATACATTCAAAGTCGTGTTTTTTCAAACAATTTTTTTTAATATATACAGTGTTTTCCATCATTGAACATGATGGATTTTTCTAGAGCTGTTAATATTAAATATTTTTCAATCGGTTTGTTTTGGAGAGGGTCATCGATTTGGAGAAAATTAAATTTATATTTCCATCTCCAAGTTTTCATCTCACCTATCTGGTCATAATTTAGAGTATTATTCAGGTTTTATATTATATATAAAGTTTATAGAATTGCTAATGAAGTTGCAGCTAACAGGTAGTATTAATATTCAAATGTGTACAGCATTTATTTAATGACATTTATTTCAGATCCATCAAGTTGAGGCTTGAGATCCCAAAATTTCTTTAATTTTCCATCACAATCAACTCATTAATTAAATATTTCATTTAACCATGATAAATTATATTGATGATTTATAGATATTTAATTGAAATAATACATGGTTTCTAAAATGTAATATATATTATTATTTATGTTATAATGTATTAATATAAAAACAATATTTTAATACGTTTACACTGTTCGTTTAATTTTTATGCTAAAAATAAAATCAAACACCCAATATACCTATAGTAAAATTTATTCAAATATTGTATAATTTTCAAGATTTAATTTTACATAATATATTATTGATGTGTGTATGTGGATATTGTAACTATGTATTAATAAGTATAAATAAATATACATTCAACATATTGAAAAAATATAAAACAAGTCTATTGAGTAATGATCTATTTATCATTGGTATGCTATTTTAAAAGTACAATTTACTACTTTTTTTTTTACTTTTTGTTATAGATCCATCTACACTGATTTTATACTAAACAAATATTTAAAAAAAATTGCATTTGGTTACATTATTAATTTATTAACAGAAAAATTGTTTATGTATAAAATATGGAAAAATAAAAATAATTATAAAATGTTTAAATGGAATTAACCAAATTTTAGTCGATTAAATCAAAATGAGTTTTCAATTGTTTAACCACAGTTTCTTCAAATTTAACCTTTTTATCAACTCGAATGTGTTCAATTCCATCCAATACTTTCAATACAATCCAGTGAGGTACTTTTTCTTGAAGTAGACTCAAATGGGCTTTCCAATCCTCTAAAATAATAATCAAATAAATAAAAAAACATATTATACTAAACGAATGTTAAATTACGGTCTGTCAAAGCTTCGGAATAA